AAATCGGAACACGTAAACTCATGGCTACCGGCAAGAACTGTCGTGGGGTCATCTGATGTTAACCGCATTCCGGTATTCAACTTCAGTGATTCAGAAATTACGATTGAAGAAGGAGAGCCTGTGGGCGTATTGGAAGAAGTGGCCTGGATAAGAAAATGCTCGGAAAATGTTGTGAAGAAGGACAGTACGGGAATAGACTTTGTAACGAAAATCTTAGACGAAAACAAAAGTCTGACAAAAGTGGAGACTATGAAAGCTAGAAATTTACTTCTTCGATTCTCTGATGTGTTTTCAAGAAGCGATGGTGATATTGGCCGAACTGGTTTGGTGAAGCATAAAATAAACACAGGTGATACAATGCCAATTCGTCAAAGGCCCAGACGTATACCATTCGCTCGTGAGAAAGAGGTTGAAGAAATGATTGACGATATGAGGAAAAATGACGTGATAGAGCCCTCTTCTAGCCCTTGGTGTTCACCTGTCGTGCTTGTCAAGAAGAAAGATGGTTCAACGAGGTTTTGTGTAGACTATCGACGATTGAATGATGTAACCAAGAAGGATAGCTACCCGTTACCAAGAATCGATGACACACTTGACACACTGAGTGGCATGAAATGGTTTTCAACGCTCGATCTGAAAAGCGGCTATTGGCAGGTGGATTTGGATCCCAAGGACAAGGAAAAGACCGCATTCTCAACTGGGAAGGGACTCTGGCAATTTAAGGTGATGCCATTTGGATTATGCAATGCACCGGCAACCTTTGAGCGTTTGATGGAACAGGTGCTGGCGGGACTGCTGGGCGAAACCTGCCTAGTTTACCTCGATGACATCATCATTGTTGGACGGGATTTTGACGATCATCTAAGGAAATTGGAAAAGGTACTCGACAAGCTGCGTGGAGCAAATTTAAAGTTGAGTCCAAAGAAATGCTCTTTCTTCAAGCGCGAAGTGAATTATCTAGGACATGTTATTTCTGAGAGAGGAATTGAGACTGATCCAGCCAAGACTGTCGCTGTTAAGGAATGGCCAACACCTAAAGACAAAACGCAAGTTCGGGCATTTCTTGGATTGTGCTCATATTATCGGCGGTTTGTGAAAGGATTCTCGGACATTGCCAAGCCTTTGCATCGATTGACAGAGGAGAAACGTGCCTTTATCTGGGACGAGGATTGTGAGCAAGCCTTTCGAGACCTAAAAGAACGGCTTTGTAACACACCAATTCTCGGATACCCCAGCGCGAAAGGAATATTCGTAGTTGATACGGATGCCAGCAATATTGGAATAGGAGGTGTCCTTTCACAACGCGATGGTGAGCAGGAGAAGGTTATTGCTTACTTCAGCAAGTCACTATCGAAGCCGGAGAGGAATTATTGCGTGACCAGGAGGGAATTACTGGCCGTAGTCAAAACCCTGCACCATTTCAAGAAGTATTTACTGGGACGGAAATTTTTGATCAGAACTGATCACGCTGCTTTGAAATGGCTGCTTCAGTTTAAGGATCCCGAAGGCCAAGTAGCCAGATGGTTGGAACAACTTCAGGAATTTGACTTTGAAATCGAACATCGCGGCGGAAGAATTCATGGCAACGCAGATGCATTATCGAGACGCCCATGCGTGGAGGATTGCAAGCATTGTGCCAAGAAGGAAATTGCTTTTCTTAAGGTGATAAGGACTGATACTGTTGACGAGGCATGGGGAGATGATGCAATGAAATTAGAACAGGAAAGAGATGCAGATATCAAACCAATACTGGAGTGGCTACGAAGTGGTAACAAGCCAAGTTGGAGTGACGTCGCCCAATATAGCGCAGTAACGAAAGGTTTATGGGCACAGTGGAAAAGCCTTACGCTGCATAATGGACTTCTGTGCAGAAAATGGGAATCAACAAACGGCAAGGACGAGCATTTGCAATTGGTGGTACCTCGTTCAAAAATAAGGGATGTATTAAAAGCGTTCCATGATGGATCTTCTGGAGGACATTTGGGGATTAGGAGGACTTTGGTGAAGATCAAGGAGAGGTTTTATTGGTTGCATTGCAAATATGACGTCGAAGATTGGTGCCGGAAATGCACTAGTTGTGCAGCTGTCAAGGGTCCACAAACAAGGAGCAGGGGGGCGATGAAAATCTACAATGTTGGTATGCCTTGGGAGAGAATAGCCTTAGACATCGCTGGACCATTTCCAATCACTGATTCGGGCAATCGCTACGTTTTAGTGGTTATGGATTATTTTACAAAATGGCCGGAGGTCTTTGCCATACCGAATCAAGAGGCAGTAACTGTAGCCACGAAGTTGGTAAACGAGGTATTCACCCGATTCGGAGTGCCCTTGGAGATGCACAGTGATCAAGGACGGAACTTTGAATCCCAAGTTTTCCAGGAAACTTGTAAACTTTTGGGAATCCATAAGACTCGAACGACCCCTTATCATCCACAGTCAGATGGAATGGTCGAACGCTTCAACCAAACATTGGAGCGACACTTAGCAAAGGTGGTTGACAGCCATCAGAGAGATTGGGACACTTACATACCTCTCTTCTTGCTTGCCTATCGGACTGCTGTACATGAAAGTACCGCAAAGACGCCTGCATTTGCAAATTTTGGAAGGGAATTGAGATTACCGGCAGATCTTGTATCGGGCTGTCCACCTGGTGACTCTCGCACCGAGTTTAGCGATTACATAAGCGAGTTAAGGGCAAAAATGTTGGACATTTATGAGCAGATCAGGGAGGCCGGTCTTCAAGCTAGTGATCGCGCAAAGACGCGCTATGATCGACGAGCCAATTCTGTTGGGTTTGAAGAGGGGTCATTGGTCTGGCTTCATAATCCAGTCAGAAGGAAGGGAAAATCTCCAAAGCTGCAACCGAGTTGGGAAGGTCCTTACGAGATAGTCACGAAGATCAATATCAATGACATTACTTACAGAATTCGGAAGTCTTCAAGGAGCCCTTTGAAAGTTGTCCATATAGACAGGTTGGCGAGGTATTACGGCAGCAACGATGCTCGGGACGAGCGAATCTAAGAGGGGGGCAGTGTGACAGAAAACTCTTTGACATCATGACGTCAATGGATGGTTGTCAAACGTTGCCTAGAGATTGTAAATTTCGTCGTGAATTGTCAACACGAGTTGGTGTAATCGGTAAGGCGTGTGGATTACACCACAGAGACCCCGAGTTCGAGTCCCGCCGTAAACATGAAGTTTTTTAGTTGATGGAAGTTTTGTCGAACTTTCTGGAATATTTGAGTGAAAGTGATGAAAAATTAAGGAGCGAGAAGGAGAATAAATAAAAATGAATAACGAAATTATTGGAAGGTTCTGGAGGCATGACGATCAAAAAGAATAACGAAATTGAATGTTCTAGAACCTGACCGGGGGTATATAAGCGGAACTGCGGCTCACCGCTGGCAGTTGAGTTCTAAGTCTAAAGCGATTCGGAAGAAAAGGAAGAAGTGAAAAAGAAGAAAAGTGAGTGAAATAGTGAAGTGCAGTGAAATAGTGAAGTGCAGTCAGTTAAGTGAAGTTAGCGTGAACGGCAAAGTTGTGTCAGTCGGCCGGACTCTGCTGGAGAGGAACGCCGATAACTTAACTCCGTGGACGCTGTAACTTAAGCGCAATAGAAAGTCTGAAAACCGGTATTAGTGTTTCATTTCATCCAATCCCGTAACCCAAGCCCGCATAGTCAGGAACGTGACGTCAGGCACGTAACAATATGATATGCTGTAGATTACCCACAGATAACTGTTCGATAAATAAATGACATTAGATATTTAATAAATAACAAAACTGACATTTTATTAAACTTTGACATATTGAAAATATATAAGGCGGTACGGAGATCACCGGTTTATTTTATTGTGAATAAATTTAATAAACAAATAATTTCAATCCAATATTATTAGTTTTTTTATTCAAGATTTGTTACATTAACTTCAGTCATAATAACCATATGATTGTTTGCGCTGGTTTATAGATACCTACATCAACATACTTAATCACAACAAAGTGGCGCATTTTTGGCGCAAAATCGATACGTTTTTTTAACACACATATGTATATTTAACGAGCTTTAGCTCAATGTTACAGAGAATATAGAATAAAAAAATAATAAATAAAAAAATAACAATAAATGACCTAAATTTTGAGCCTCATCATAAGCGATTTATTGTCACAATAATAATACTTTTTCTCGGTTTTGACTAAATTCGATTATTTTTTATTTTAAGTTTTTAACTACCTGTAGTTTTTCCTTTGACTTTATTAATGACTGACAAAGCTAACATGAGAAAATAATAATTCGTTCTTTTTTCTAAACATTGACTCATAATTTTGTGGTGAATGCTTCCTACGAGATCCGAGTAACCGATATGATTATGTAGAATATTAATAAAATATAAAGTTGTCATTGGCATCTTTTTATACCTAATAGGGACGATGAAATTTTGTTTTTATAATGTCGACGTTTAAAATTAATTTAAAAACATTATTAGACACGTATTTTTGAGAGGTGACGCAGTGACCTGTTATTTTGTCTAGGTTTTGTTCTAATATACGACAAAATAATAAAATAAATGTCTAATATATTTTCATTATCTGACTGACAGACAAAAAATTAGACTTTAATAGTAACTTAATTTTCCTGGCCCGGCCATCATTTCTACACAAATCCTTTTTGACATTAACATTTGACATCTGTGGTAACTTATCAACATTTGGCTGCATGTAATCAAGATTTTTTTATATCGTGTTGCAGCTTACCTTAAAAAAAAACATTTTAAATGCAACGATTTGTGCTGTATCTAAATTTAAACGTAAAAGCAACAGAAATGCGATGTCTCCATTCCAAATATCAAATGTTTAAATCTTTTAATGTATACTTTTTAAATTAAACATAAAGAAATAATAATTCATTTTTTAATACTTAGATAAATGTTATCTGAGGAATAAAATTGTTGCTGTCACTGTCTTATACAAACATTCTGAGGAGACAGCATCATAATTAGTCCGCAGGTAACTTTTATCTGACTGAAAAATCAGCGCTTATATATCCTTTTATCTTGTTCCTTTGTATGTCCAGCATAGCGTTAGAAATATTTTAGACGTTTAAAACCACTGTTCGTATACCTATCATCATTCTTAGATCATTATTTAAGTCACTTCCAACAAGTCTCTTCTTTTCGCATACACATGTAATGGGACATACCAATTACTTTGTTTCTATGGCCCTACGCTAATTACCACAATTTCTTTTCATATCGTATGGTTTTAGAGATCATAAATCGTACTTATATGAGAGAAACCAGCTTGCGCATAGTTTGCGCAATTTTGCGCAACAAGTTTAACAATTGGCGCAAATGGTTATTTACTCTCATCAGTGAAAATAACTGGATTTTTTCATACAGAGACGACATAAAGTATAGATTTCAGATATTGACAAAACATATTACGAGCGACATGCAGTAAGAGAAAACGAGTGGACAATTTAATAAAATTGTCCTAAGAATGAACTATATGAGTAAGTATAACTACAATATAAAAATGGTAAATACTTAAGGAAGACTAGTTCAGTCAGGGTACAGCAAATTGGTCTCCCTGCCGCAGCGTTCCTGAAAACAAAAAGTCCTTCACTGTATTATAACTCTCTTTACACGTATGAGATTAAGGGAGGGGTCGGTAAATTCCCAAAACCCTAATCTCCAAAAGGTACGCAACGCACTCGTAATTCCTCCTTTATTGAGGGTACTATGCGCCGCGCTGATTGCTTACCATCAGGTAATCCGTTTGCTCGTTTGCCTATTTTTTGTGCTATGTATAACGACTTTCTCACGTTAGAAGACGGACTAGATTACTTTCAAGTCAAGCTAGGAGTTCATATTTATGAGCAGCTTTGCGCAACACACGAAGCGGCGATCGTTGCGCAGATTAAGAAGCCGTTAAAGTAATTATAATGAGTACATCTATGACTACAGTAATCCTAAGTAGTAAGTACCTGATGTTCGCTGATAAGGTAGACAGGCAGGGACTCATAGCAGAATTCGCAGGGGATGACGGGTTCGTCGTAGGGCTCCTGTGAAGGCTCCAGGGCCACCGCCCCCACGGGAGAGGGGCTGCGAGGCCGCAATTGTGCCAGATCAGGTCGGCAGCCAGTCTGAAAGTACATTAATTTAAGATATCAATAATGATTAAAAAAAGATATTCAATATTATTGCGAAATTTCTGCGAAAGTGCATTCAAGATTTCTTCAAATAAAAAAAGGTAGGTTAATATAAGAAATTAAATTCAATATAATTTTAAAGGTAAGGTAGGGTCGGTAGTGTTCGGTGGGTAGAGTAGGGTAGATGGTGTAGGGTAGGTAGTGTAGGTAAATTTTCTAATTTATATAAAAAAATATTTTTATTACCTGATGCTGCACTAGGTTGTGCGCAGGTATGAGCGTGGCGCAGAACTCGCACGGCAGTCGCACGTCGTCGCCGGCGGGGGACGCGCGACCGTTACTGCCATATAAAAAAAACTATTTTAAAACAAATGTACAAATTAGGTAGCGTACCGATCTTCGTGACTTTGGTGCAAAGATCCGGCAATTACCATTTAAAATAAAAAAAAACGATGAAGGGAGGGCAAGGATTGGGCCTCCGGTAACCTCTCTCAAACGAGTTTAAATGAATTTTTTTATGAATTAATCGATAAATTAATCGATTAAACAATTTTATAGATTTTTGCCAAAATATACAATTTTAGAACAAGAAATGAACGTTTCTGTCTGACTTAATTCATTTCAAAAAGTCACATACAGGCACTTTGAACGACAAACAAGGAAGATATAGTGTCAGTCTGTCGGTCAGTCCTCTTAGTGAAGCTATTTGCTCGTTCCAAAGTGTAGATTCCGATGGAGAAGAACTAGCAAGAAACTCCATGGTTACTCTTTTTAAATCAGTTTCATTATACAAACAGGTTTCGAAAAACAATGGTATGATGGTAAAAAGGGGTATAAGAGTCAATAAAATTTTAAGGGATGTTGGTGAAAACGGGCATAGATCTTTTAGATTATTAATAATATAGTTATCTCGGCCTCACAGAAAACCGACTTGAAATAACCACAGCGTTGTGTTTCGCCGTGTGAGTGAGGTTACCGGAGGCCCAATCCTTCGCCTCCCCCAATCCCTTCTCAATCCCTAAATCTCCAAATCCCTAATCCCTAAAAGGTCGGCAACGCACTCGTAACTCCTCCGTTGCGGGTGTCCATGGGCGGCGCTGATTGCTTACCATCAGGTAATCCGTCTGCTCGTTTGCCGACCTATTAAATAATAATCTAAGCGATATTGTTATAAATAAACTCACCCATTATTATTGTTGTTATTGTTCGCGTTTGCGCTGATGTTCGGGTTCGAATGGTACGGAGCCGTCACCTGGAAGTCGTCACAGACATCATATAAACCTCATCCAGAATAACATAAATATGTCTTATAATAATTCTTCTCCTAGCAATAAATAAATACTTTAAAATAAATAACAATCTCATTTTTAAGTTATAGATGACATGTGAAACTTTTTGAGAGGGTATGAATGCATCATCATTATCATCAGCCTATAAGTTGCCCACTGCTGAGCAAAGGCCTCTTCTCACACGGAGAAGGTTAGAGCATTAATCAACACGCTTGTTCAATACGGGTTGGCGATTTCAAACGTATAATTAGAAAGTATAAGTCCAGGTTTCCTCACGATGTTCACCTTCACCGTATGTCAGTGGTGTCTAAATAATCATAGAAAGTACATATAACTCGGAAAAAGTCATATTGGTACTTGCCAGGTTTCGAACCCACACCCTCATGCATGAGGAGCGGGCTCCTTAACCTCCGGGCCACCACCGCACCACACCGTATGAATGCATGTTTGTTATTATTTCACACAAAAACTGATGGACCGATTTGGTTGAAATTTGATATGTAAATAGGTAGTACCCTGGATTAACACATAGGCTGTTTACCAACCACGTGTGAAGCTAGTAAAAGACATATAAAGCCAACACCAACCTCATTGAGTCCTCTCCGGAGCTCCCTCAAAGACGACTTGATCTCACTGAATCTATCCCCGTTCTTCCTGACGTCTCCCTCAGCACTGTTCCGCCGTGTCTCCTCATCCTTCCTCTTTTGCATCTCACTGAATCTCTCCATAAACTCCTCAGGAGTCATAGGAGTCAGGTTCTTGAAGTCATTCCGCCTATTTGAGGGTTCCTCGATGGGTCCAGACCTTGGTTGCGACGCACCGTCGTTTTCCAAATTCCTCACAATTCGACCCTGGCGGTTCTTTTCCATGTGTTCCTCTGGGTTTTGAAGAGCGTCCAATTTACGTAGTCTCTCCAGTTTTGCTGCCGGGCTTAAGACTGGTGGAAGACCTGAGGTGGATAAATAGAAATTAAGTTTACAAGTTGGCAAATGGAATGGAATCTTACTTCTTACTAAGACTAGACTTTATAATATTATAAAGTGTGGGAGAGCCATGCTTCGGCACAAATGAGTCGGCTCGACCGGAGTGATACCACGGCCTCACAGAAAACCGGCGTGAAATAACCACAGCGTTGTGTTTCGCCGTGTGAGTGAGGTTACCGGAGGCCCAATCCTTCCCCTCCCCCATGATTTGAGTAAAAAAATCCCTGGTTGGGGAAAGATCTGCTGGTCGCAGCGAAATATAACTAACCAACACTCAAGTTGTAGGCAGTCTGCTCTCGCCGCTGCCTCTCTTCATCCTGCTGGCGTTGCATGGCGCTATAGTAGGGGAGGTCGCGGATGGCGGATGGCAGGTCGGTGGGGGGGCGGCGACATGGGGGCTTCGGGGCCGGACGCTTCTTCACAGCGCCGCGAGATATACCCCTGGAGAGAAGATAACATTAATAAGAAGATATTGAAGTAAATTTTCTTCACCTTTTTATACTGGTTTATTTTGTAGCGGGAACCAAGACAGTCATTCATATCCCTGGGACATGTTCCGGTGTTTTCATGGTTGTATCTACTGTAAATCCTGGCTTATAGTAGTTGCAGCGGCTTTTGGAGGTTGCGGCGGGCTTGTCTCATTGAAAAAACACCTTTCTTAATACATGTATAGAAAAAGCTTCCAGTCGAACAATGCTCAATTAACCAATCAGTTCAATTTTAAGTGTGAGACAGCCATGTTTCGACACGAATAAGTCAGCTCGATCGGAGTGATACCACGACCTCACACAAAACGGGCGTGAAATAACCACAGTGTTGTGTTTCCCCCCGTGAGTGAGATTACCGGCGGTCCAATCTTTCTTCTCCCCCAATCCCTAAATCCCCAAAAAGTCGACAACGCACTCGAAAGTCTCTCGTTGTTGCGAGCGTCCATGGGCGGCGCTGATTGCTTACCATCAGGTAATACGTCTGCACGTTCGCCTTCCTATCACATAAATAAGTCCATAAGCTCTTTTTGCTAATAAACTAATAAACAGAACAGTACTTACAAATCTTTATCAACTTTATTCGTTTCTTCAACGTTTGTATTTATCTGTGGTTTGTCATTGGTCCTCTTTGCAGATACCTTGGCCCCGTTGGTGGGGGAGGCGTGACCTCTCCAATCACTGGAGCTTCCTTCACCAGCAGTCGGTGATGGATCCAAACTTGCTCCATCAGTGCTGAAATGTCTAGAAAAGAAGAGAAAGAAAACTTTTCTGAAATGCATTTGTTTTCTAACACAACTAGCGTCATTAACAAGTAAATACCCTTGGTAAATAAGTCAGTGATTCATTTGAATGCTTAGGTGTGGAAGATACATGCTTCGGCACGAAGGGATCGGCTCGACTAGAATGATACCAGGGCCTCACCGAAAACCTGCGTGAAAGAACCACAGCGTTGTGTTTCGCTATGTGAGTGAGGTTACCGGAGACCAAACCCTTCCTCTCCTCCCATATCCCTTCCCAATCCTTATATCTGCAACCCTTATTCCCTAAAAACCAGCAACGCACTCGTAACTCCTTTGGTGTTGCGGGTGTCCATGGGCGGCGCAAATTGCTTATCATCAGGTAATCCGTCTGTTCGTTTGCTGTCCTATCCTCCCAAAATCTCCAAATCCCTAATCCTCTAAGGGTCGGCAACGCACTTGTAATTCTTCGGTTGTTGCGGGTGTCCACGAGCGGCGGTGATTGCTTACCATCAGGTCTCGTCTGATCGTCTGCCATCCTATTACATAAAAAGAAAAGTACACATCTTATAGCGACATTCTGAACGTACCTGATCTCAGTTCGACTCAAGTTTATGTTCTTTAAGCCGTTCTGTCTGTAGCTGTTGGCGGGTGGGTAAGCGGAGCCATTGCTGGTAGATGGAGCGGTTGCTATGTTAGCTCTCGTCAGCTTTGGGACCGCAGGCCTAGCAGGCATCTTTGGCAACTCCTTCTTTGGCGTCACTGGAGACGGATCTATACAAAATTCGAATACATCTATACTAATATTATAAAGAGGTAAAATTTTAAGCTTGTATGTAGGGGTGAGGGGTAACATTTGGAACCGCTTGTCAGATTGCAAAAATTCTTTGATAGATAGCTACAATGTTCCTGAGTGCTATAGGCTATAAAACATCACGCTACAATCAAATGGAGCCAAGCAGCGGATGAAACCGCGCGAGAGTAGCTAGTTTTCGATAATAGTGTCTGCAGCACAAAAAATCCAATTCAATTTATATTTATTCCAGGTCAAAATGCTGCACTGTTGCAATGGACTGCACGGTGCCGCGCGACGTGACGCTGGTTCGATTCCCGCTCGGAACAACACTTTGTGTGATCCACAAATTCTTTTTCCGGGTCTGTAAACGCAACCACGACACAGGAGAAAATCCTAGTGTGGTGCGTTTTTTTTTATTTAATCATTTATATCAATTACACCGTTATCAGCGCTTTTGAACGCTTTAAGCAAATATTACAAGTATCAGGCTGTCGGTCAGTCCCCTAGTGAAACCATTTTAGTTCTTTTTATCGTGTAGATTCTGATGGAGAAGAAAGAGCAAGAAACTCCGTGGTCACAACGCGTGTTTATTTCAGATTACAATAAAACAAAGAATTTACTTTTGTATATAAGCCATAAAATAGCAATTTAACACGTCAAAATTTGATCTAAAAACTAGTTGAATCCGGCAAGAAATGCCGAAACAAACTGAGACATAAGAGACGAATCTTATGTCCAGACAATTGTAAAAATAATAATGCAATGAGTCAACTAATTACTGAATTTCATGATAGAGATATTTGGAACACTGGAAAAATATATTCATCCTATTATAAATAAAAATATATTAACAAATCAATCACGGTTTTATTTGTTAATATATTTTTACGTCAGATGACGTCACTTATCTATTTATTTCACTTGATGCACAAAACACTGTACAAAGGCGGATTTAATGCAACAAGCATTCTCTACCAGTCAACCTTTGGGTGATGCAGAGACACTCTAGTGGCAGATGCAAGAAGCAAGCAAGTTCTCCTAAATGTAAGTACCAAAAATCTATATAAAAATATACATAACTAGCTGCTCTCGCGCGGTTTCACCCGCTACTCGGCTCCATTTGATCGTAGCGTGATGTTTTATAGCTATTTGGACTCAGGAACTTTGTAGCTATCTATCAGTGAAAGAATTTTGGCAATCCGACCAGCGAGCGGTTCCAAAGATTAGCCCCTACATACAAACTTACTTTTACCTCTTTATAATATTAGTATATAGAAGTATAGACTAGTATAGATATAGAAGTATAGATACACTGAACTATACATACTCTACTTACTATACACATTATAATAATATATTTATAAAGCGTATCCGGTTTTAAAAGCCTTACCATCGTCCAGTCGGATGAATCCATGGTTGGAGTCCAAATGCAGCTGACGGTATTTGATCATGACCCATTCTTTGCAGTCAGGGCACTGCTCCGTTCGTACTCCACAGTAGCTCTCGTGACCTGGTAGATCACGGCGAGGCAGCTCCAGCTCACAGAATCTAAGTGAAACGGTAATGTCTCGCGTGAGATCCTTTCATCATCATCATCATCATCATCATCAGCCTGTAAGTGCCTACTGCTGAGCAAAGGCCTCTTCTCACACGGAGAAGGTTTGAGCATTTATCACCACGCTTGCTCAAGGCGGATTGGCGATTTCAAACTTATAATTACAAATTACAAGTCCAAGTTTCCTCACAATTTTTTACTTCACTGTATGTCAGAGGTGTCTATGTTACCGGAAATGTATGAAACCTAGGAATTATATACAATTACTAGGAAATGTATACAATTCCGAAGCTATATAGGAAATGTGTAAAATATTGTTCCAAACATTATTTAATACACACATATCCTGGGAAATGTATACATTTCCTAGAAATTGTATAAAATTCCTATATCCTATTAGGAAATGTATAAAACCATGCTTTCTATGAATAAAATTAATAAAACACGTTGTTAAACTTAGAAACAGATTTATTATTAAGACTCCGGTTGAAACAATTAGGTAACAATCACATCGTAAAATGTAATATCTTCTTCCGGCTTACTAACTACGCCACAAAAAAAACTATTTACTAAATTTTAAGGCTAAATATAAGTAGTTTTTGTGCCAGATGGCTGGCACAAAAACTACTTATATTTTCTTATAAAGCTCTATCATTTGGTAACTAATCAGTCTGTCAATTAAACAGTAATACGCCGTATACACGCATACGAATGGACATCTTTAAAGTAATACATTTCCGTTAGCTATTTAGGAAATGTACAGATTTACTAGGAAATGTGTGTTATAAAATTTATTTCACACATTTCCAAGCAAATTTAGGAATTATATAAATTTCCTAGGAATTGTATACAATGACGGATTACATTCATTTCCGTTAACATCTATATAATCATAGAAAGTACATATGACTCGGAAAAAGTCACATAGGTACTTGCCAGGTTTCGAACCCGCACCCTCATGCATAAGAAGCGGTGGCCCGGAGGTTAAGGCGCCCCTTAACCACCGGGCCACCACGACAACGACACGACAAGATCCTTTGGTGAGAGGAAAATCATCAAATGACTTCTCCTGTCCATAGTGTCAGACTCTTACTGACTAAAAACGCCCCGTTCCTTCTCATGCTCAGGGCCGAGGCCGCGGTGCCTTATTGCTTTTGACCCACAACCCCGGCAGAGATCGGTATGAAGTTGCCGTGCCTACATTCCTCCATTAAGCCCACTATCGTTTTTGTAAGGATGTTTATTCCTTTCTTCTTGTACAATAGCGCCGACGTATATTGGCGAGTCTGAATCTAATTATCCTCTATGCCGGGGGCCCAATCTCTCCCCCTGCCCCATCCGTTCCCAATCCATAAATATCCAAAACCCTTATTCCCAAGACCGGCAACACCCGCGTAACTCTTTTGGTGTTGCAGGTGTCCATGGGCGGCTTTGATTGCTTACCATCAGGTAATCAATCAGTTCGTTTGTCAACCCGTCCCATAAAAAAACAATGCTGTTACCTGCATGTTTTGATAGTATGTGCGCAGGAGTCTCGGATGTGATCCTCGAGGTCAGTGCCGCAGACACTCTCGCCGCATTTCTTGCACGGCTCTGATGGCAAAAAAGACAAACAACAAATAATATAATGTACCAACACACTGTTTTTACCAGTTTAATCATAGTTAGTGAATAAAGGGAGAATGAAGTTTTCGTAAATCCAAAAATCTCCATTAATACTTTAAGTAATTGCCCCGGAAATCGAAACCGAGACTGTTTGCTTAACAGTTGCACTTGCGACCACCCAACCAAAGAGAGATAAACAATATAAAATTTAAACTAAAGCTAAAGATTTCACTAATTTGATTTGTCTATCAGTGACGGGAATTTCTGGACTTGTAGGTACATCAACTCGTTGTCTAAGAGAGGGTCACGTGTTTGTCAAAAAAACTGATTTATATCCTAAAATTGGCAACAAATATACCAGCAGACTCGTCAGAGACCTCAAATTTACTTTTTTTTGTAAGCGATCATCAAATGTCTTCTTTTGCCCCAGACGTGGCGAGAGGGAGAGTCACTCTTACTGACTAAACGGAACGGAGAGGTTCAACCGTTCCTTCTCCTGCTCTGCCAAAGTCATGGTACCTTATTGCGCCCAACCCGTCACCTTGGCTGAACATCGGTCCTATAGGGCCCCGTCTGTAGTGGTCTATTGGCTCTTTGAGGCGCGCGCGGAACACTATGCGCCGTACGCTCGGGAAAGATCTCAAAGGTGATGCAACAATTGACGTCACAACAAAGTTATTTCAAAACGAAGTCTTTAAACTTTGGCGTCTCTTGAAAGACTATAAATAACCCCCTTTATGTCTGAAGTTAAGAAGCCAGAGAGGAGCCATTTTTGTAGTCGCTATTCGGTTATGAGATGGCGAAAATTTTACTGAGCAACCGACATTCTTGATCTCAAGCTTTAAAATGGAAATTAATAGCCAATAATCGTAAATAATTATTGATATATACTTTTTACAGAACTACAAAATATTATGTAGGTATAGTGCCAATGTCGTGGTAGGCTTGGTTAAGGCGCCGACATCTCATGCAGGAAAGTGTGTTCGAAACCTGGCATGTACCAATGTGACTTTTCGGAGTTACAAGTGAAAGAAAACATCGTGAGGAAACCTAAACTTAGATACATATTATAAAAAAGAGAGAAGTTGTTTGATGATTGTGCCCTCACAGAAAAAATAAAAAGTATTATAATTTCTAATTAAAAGATTCAAAAAGCCAATGCGCATTGAGAAGACGTAGTGTTTAATGCTCAAACCTTCTCCGTGTGAGAAGACACATTAAGAAGACACTAATCTTGAAGTGAGTGCTACTATATGCATCTTTTTTCCATCCGTCATTATCCCAAGTTAAGAAATATTAGCATAAAATGTTGCTTTTTGACAATTTGCAATTACAAATCCCTCTATTTGTGTAAAAACTATCGATCAAAGTAACTACTAGTACTAGTAGTAGGTAACCAGGGAAATTAATTGTAATTTACCAATTACGTAATTTGTTCGATGAAAGCTCTACTAGTTTCAAATCATATCGGGACGCATATGCATGAAGGGCGTGTGCAACGTCCACCTTTAGGCACTTACTTAGTTGATGCATCTTCTCATGATGTTCCTTGAGCTCAGCAAAGAGTACAGCCTCCTTGCAGACGGGACATACTCTGATGTTTCGAGCGCAGTGCACGCTGTGGATCGTGAAGTTTACCGTCGGGATCTCCCGCTTACTGTAACGAAAATTTACAATTAACCAACAACGCCACTTGTAAAAATATTTAAGAGATATAACTGCTCTTTCTATGGAAAATGCTGTAAAATAGCGCTCCTACAGGTCAAAGTAAAATTAATGTTTTATCACATATTAGTTAGACATCATAATAATATCTATAACATAAAAGAAAGTAGTGTTAGTTACACTATTTATAACTCAAGAACGGCACAACAGATTTCGTTGCGATTTGGTGAGGATGTAGTTTAGTATGTGTAGATTAGGTAGGGTATGGTAGGTAGGGTACGGTAGGTAGGGCAGGTAGGGTAGTGTGGGTAGTCAAATGACGAGAGCAAAGACTCGGATGAAAGCTAGTTATTGTTTAAAATTGACATAGGTAATGCTGTTTTTTTAATATACTTAGCTATATCTATACTAATATTATAAAGAAGTAAAATTTGTAATTTTGTATGTAGGGAGTAATCTTTGGAACCACTGATCGGAATGCCAAAATTCTTTCACTGATAAATAGCTACAATGTTCCTAAGTGCTATAGGATATAAAACATCACGCTACGATCTATGAAAGCCGAGCAGCGAGTGAAACGGGGCGAGAATAGCTAGTAGTATCTGCATATACGATATCTTACTAATCTGTGCAATAAAAAACCGAATGAAATGGAGAATTCTCTTTCTTTCCCTACATATGTATGTGTTCTCGACGTCAAAACAAGATACTTCGCACATGACGTTAACGTAAGCGTAAGGTTACAACTTCCCCTATTCAACAAAGTGCGATAAAGTTCAAATTGCAATAACAGTAAACAAACTATACGCTTAGGCAACGAATCATCAATATAAGCATCATTTTGTAATCTACTCCGTTTCTTGCTCTCTTACATTTTTAATTCGTGCGACCCAATCCTGTGTTCCACGAGTGCAATGCTTTTTTTTTTTGTCAGAGGCACATCGTCAGGTGATCTCTCTCGCCAAGGGTAAGGCAAGAGAGTGTCAGACTCTTAATGACTAAAACGCCCCCGTTCCTTCTCCTGCTCAGGGCCGAGGCTGCGGTGACTCATTGCGCTTAAACCCAACCCCGGCTGAACATCAGCCCTATAGGGCCCCGTCTGTGGTGGTTTATTAGTTCTTTCAAACACGTGCGGAACGCTACGCACCATCCGCTGGGATGCTTACCATCAAGTAATCACATCAGTATACTAGTGTGCCAATCTCTCACATTAAAATCTTATAAAAATCGACATAAACAATTAGTAAGCTTTGAATTTCCTATTTTGATAACAATTGAAAATCTCTGTACAGTGAAGAGCCCTTTAATAAACAACGATAATAAGCTCTTAAGCAGCTTATTAAAATAAGACGAAATACTTAATGGAAAATTTTATAATTGTATTCTATATGCTCGAGAGAAAATTTTCCTATTGGTAACGAAAGGAAAATTACGAGGTACGGTAAAATACACGCTCTACTAGAGCCGTTTTCAACTTTATATGTACCGACGATAAAGTTGAGATTCTATTGAAGAGAGTATATTATGATGTGCTGCGTCTGTAAGTACCTACATATTTATTCTTTCCTTCACGGTTGCCTAGGTAACAGCCATGAACGTATCTAGAAAAATCGGAGTTATAGAGAAAGGAAAGATATTGATCTTATGATAGGTAAGGTCAAATCTTTTCAGGTTACGTAAATAGGTCAGCAGCCTTAGATATAAGTTCTAGAGACGTGCCTCAACAGGGCTGATGAACACCTCTTTGTGTGATCCACAAATTGTTGTTCCGAGTCTGGGTGTCATGTGAATGTGAAATTGTATGTTTGTAACTGAGGTTTGTAACCGTACCCACGACACAGGAGAAAATCCTAATGAGGGACAACGTCTTAAAAATTGTTGCAGAGAACAGACAATAACACGTAAATGAGGAGTTCAAGTGTGGGAGAACCATGCTTTCGATACGAATGGATGTGCTCGACCGGAGTTAGTAATACCACGTCGTCACAAAACCCCGGCGAGGAATAACACTTAGGTTGTGTTTCGTGTGAGTGTAGTTACCGGAGGCCCAAATCCTTCCCCCACCCCAATCCCTTCCCAATCCCTAAATCCGCAAAATCCCCAATCCCTAAAAGGTTGGCAACGCACTCGTAACTCATTCTTTGTTCCATGGGCGACGCTGATTGCTTACCAACAGGTAATCCGTATGTTCAAAAAAAAAGAGTTTACCTGTATTCACGGACTGATCGCACATAATTCACATCTTTTCTTTCATACCTTTTACTACTAATATTAGTTCATTCTTTTGTTGATATTATGCGCGACAAATACACTTTAAACGCGAAATAGTACAAATAATAAAAAGTATAAAAACTAAAACCCCACTACGAGAAAAAAAGACTTTTTTATTATCACCATCAAGATGACTCTGCCACTTGGAGGTGTATAGAATACGATACAAATTGAAGAACACGTATATCTTCGAGAAGCCCCCTTTGTTGCTTATTTTTGGCAATATCTAATTGCCAATAGGTCACGAACATAGCTTCGGCGAAATGTATTGATTTATACCGCCAGCTTTCATATATAAGAAATCAAAGGGTTTCTGTACCTATGCTATTCATGGGACAATTTTTATATTCAAAATCAGAAGTATTTCAACTTAACCATAGACAGGTACTTTAGAAACATCAAAATAAATTAATAGTCTGTGAGTCAGTATGTCAGTGAAGCTAGGTGCTCGTTCTAAAATGTAGATTCAAATGGAGAAGAACAAGCAAGGAACTCCATCGGTACTATTGATTATTTTTCTTATCTTAGGTAATTGGTTTCCTATAGTTACAATGAACACGAGAATCATTTTAATACCACACTTTCAGAAAAATCTAAAGAATTGAATCTATTTATTATTGAAAGAAAAAACAGAGAGGATACTGACATACTGCCAGAGGTCTCTTTCAAACTGGCTTCATTTTAATGCAACTAACGACCTACCCAGGCTTCCCACGCTTGCAATACTGATACAAAATTTCTTTACTATTAAATATATCTTACTAATCATACTTCTCACTCTTACTAATATTATAAATACGATCGCGATGTTTGGATGTTTTTTACGGAATAGGACATAGGCTTTTTATCAACATACAAGCCGAAGCTGCGGGCGGAAGCTAGTAGGTATTATTGTACATATAAACCTTCTTCTTCAGTCGTCAGTTAATTATTATACATATAAACCTTCTTCTTCAACCATTAATCTCTTAAAAACGCCGCATCAAAATCTGTTGCGTAGTTTTATAGATTTAAGCATACATAGGGATACTGGGACAGAGAAGGCGCCTTTGTTTAGTACCTACTATGTAACGATAAGGTATTAATTTTTAACTTTTATTTACAAAGTTGCTATCGTCCATGCGTCGCTACTCACTACGGAAATGCCAACTGTATTACTGGACAAGCTGGGTGCTCTCAACGCACAGCTTATAAAGAGTGAGTGCTTTTTGCTTAGGTGTATTGATAGCCCAATTCTTATAAAAGAGGGTGCTGCTGGCTCGAAACTTAATAAGTACCAACGTGACTTTTTTCCAGTTAGGTATAAGTACTTTCTAAGTTCTAACAAACGGTGAAGGAACAAAGACTGCACGGTTGGTGCGGTGGCTGGGCAACTGGCTGCCGTGCAACGTGTCGCGGGTTCGATTCCCGCACAGAACAACTCTATGTGTGATCCACAAATTGTTGTTTCGGGTCTGGGTGTGATGTGTATGTAAATTTGTATGTTTGTAAACGCACCCACGACACAGGAGAAAATCCTAGAGTGGAGAGTGGGGCAACGCTTAAAAAAAAATTTTTTTTTTGGAGACCTTTTTGAGGTGGGGGAATCATCAAATGACTTCTCTTGCCAAGGGTATTGCGGGAGGCTTACTGACTAAAACACCCCCGTTAGGTACGTTTCCGGCTAGGGGGATAACTTTAGTCGGTAGGAGACGGACTCTCCCTGGGCGGGAGAAGTCATTAGATCAAACATACATCAATTTGACCTCATAAAAAACCAAATTTTCATTTCAATATAATGTCAACAAAATCAGACCTAAAAATCGCGACTTTATACATAGCTAGCTAGAAAAGAGAAACTACAACCAGAGGGGAAAATACGCTTTCGAGTTTAAAAAAATTGGCCCTTTAAATAACTGTCGGGCGGACCTGAGGTCCGCGTCTTTTTGGGCTGTAAACTCTGACGGACTATGACAGTGCAAAAATCACATTAGTACAGTACGGCCGCCGTATCTTGGCGAGTCTGAAGTTAGCTGTTTGTCTGCGCAATGAATCTTTTAGGAACAAAATTGTGTACTGCGCAGCTAATCGACTAACTTCAGACTCGCCAAGATACGTCGGCGGCATTGTATTTTATACTAATACATCAAACCATACCAAGGTTAAAAGAAAAAATAACTTAATCTTCACGACTTAAAGTTGAAAATTAAACAAATTACAACTTTGTGTAGGCTGGCCTGCATAGATTTAATTTATTTGGTGGGATCATGAGTTTATGTAGTATTTACAAATTCCTATGTTTAAATAGAAATTATGTTCATCAAAGAAAGTGTCTGTTAACAAAATTCTATAATTTCATCATTTTTACTAATTTTATGGTCGTATAAAATTATAAATCGAGTTTAGTAAATAATTATATTTTAATAAAAAATTTACATGCCCTTTGAAATTGTTATAGCTATCTATCATTCACCATTGCTGTGATTTAGCGTTTCAAAGTTTTAACTAAAGTGTCTAATAATCAAGGAAATGAAAAAAAATGATCAAAAATTCAAAAAGCTTATTATATTATAACCATTAAGCTATTTTATTTTTAATAAGCTACTCTCGCGCGGTTTCACCCGCTGCTCAGCTCCATTTGATCGTAGCATGATGTTTTATAGCCTATAGCACACAGGAACATTGTAGCTATCTATCAGTGAAAAAATTTTGGCAATCCGATCAGCGGTTCCAAAGATTATATCCCCCAACATACAAACTTACAAATTTTACCTCTTTATAATATTAGCATAGAAGTAAAGATGTATAGATTACTTAGATTTAAATGTTTATATATGTATTGTAAAAGTATCCTGGAATTTGATAATAGATTACAAATACATTTGTGATAATTACTTTGTTTAAAGATTATATTAGCCTGGTTAAATTCCACATGAAGTACTTATTGTTCCAAAAAAAATAATAATACAATGATATTATGCTTTGAAATAAAAATATTAAAAATTTTAGCTTCACCAGCTTCCACCCGCAACTTCACCCATGTGATACAATCTGATACATAATAAATAATATGTTTTTTTTCTCAATCTTTATTTAAAAGAGCTTATTTGCAATTACAAATATGACGCTCCATATATAAAGCAAAAATAAATTAAAATATTTAAATAGAAGAATTAAGGCAAAGATGATCTCCGCCTTAGACCCTCTTTAACTAAACTAATAAGTACTTTAACTCTTTCACACAGTGGAGACGATAATAAATTTATATAAAAACCTATTGTAACATTCTTTACCAAAAAATCGATGTCTTATCTCCTTATTCCAATCACACTCCGCTAAAATATCATGTACATCTTCAACTTTAATAAATAATAATGTTGATAAAAACAGCCTGTTTCTTTTCACATTTATAATACATATTAGTAGGATAGTATGACAGAATAGGTACAATCAGGATGGAATGAATGAAGGTACAATGACAATGAAATTATACAGATATTCAGAGTAGTAGTAGTAATTAGGCAGTAGTAGTACTTCTAAGATATTTATGTTTTCAAAGTTACCTACTATTTAATTTTATTATAACTTAATAGATATTAAATAATTGGGTTGTGTGCATGTCATATTTTATATAGTGGGTAGCTATGTAATTTTAAATCTTAATGGCTTGAATAATTACCTGATACTGGCTACAATATATTTAAATGTAGATGGCAGAAATCTAAATGTTCAAAACAACTGTCTTTATGGAGCAAGACTTTTGCAGGCTCCTGAATCCTTTGACCTTTTAAAAACGATCGCGAAGCTCCGAGGTCCAGTCGGCTCCCGGAATTCATCTCCGAGTGCATAAATTGATTTTGTAGCCCTGTTATATAGGTCGCCTAGGTCAAAATAGGTCACAAAAGAGCAACGACCCTTAACATTAAAAGTAAAAAGAAAACCAATGTACAACAGAATAAAAAATTCATAAACTTTTACTCTAAATATAATGTATACAAACTCCTTGGAGAAAACAAATAAACATCGAGCGCTAGGAAGTTTTTCATAACAATTATTTAGATGTAAGGTAAACAAGAAGCATCTCGGGACAGCTGCGATGTTCGCAATGCTCCAAATAATCTAAAAATAGCCGGCTAACGTGTGTACTCTAAAATAGAACTAATATTGACAACATAACACGCATTTACAAAATAAAACTTACCAATTCTCACAGAGTTTGGTGTCGCCGTCTGTATCGGGATTCATCTTTTATTTTATAAATAGGTACCTATATCGTTTTACATACGCACTAATTCAATTGTAATGTAACCTATTTCACAGTTAATACCGTATTAATTCTTATTTTTCACTTTCCCGGCGGTAGTTGGATATCAACTGTTGAATGTTAGGTATTTTTTTTCGACCTTATCTACAGATTTGAAATAAAAACATTTTTTGTGAACACTATTCGGTGAATCCCATAACCACAGACTAATAAGATAATTATAGCGCAACCAACTTCACTTCGTATTTATGACACGAGAGGACTGACAGCAACAGATGATAAATAAAATCTTTGGTAGTGATGGCCTATCTTATCTTATTACCATATCGATAAATTACCGCCAAAGAGTAAAGACCCTACCACACGAACTGAATACTTAATACCACTTGCTGCATTACAGAATAATGATATGCTTGATTATATTTTTGATTAGATGAATAAATTTAATAATGGCTCTCAATATATAATATAAAAAATCCCATCTGAATCTGAAATTAACCTGTAATATTAAAAAAGATTGGCCTAACAACTGCACCGGAGGTGATTTGTTAGGCATGCCAACTCATCTATAAAGGCATCGAGGCACTTAAACATTCTTGGAAAAAGCTTAATGCGAGAACTATACATATTAAAATTGTGCGAGAGCTCGATAATAACAAATTCTACTTACTCACGTGCATTTTTTGAGAAAAGTTGTAAGGACTAGCATCTGACGGCGTTGCTGCGACGTGAATGCTTCTTATGAATCCCACTGGGTTTTGAAACTGTTGGAGCTTTCCTGAGTTAATCATTATCTTATATATAGGTATATAAAAATGAATTGCAAAATATGTTGGTAAGTGCATAACACAACAGAGCGCCCGAACCAATTTTGTGAATTTTATTTTTGTTCTACATATTATTGTCAGGAGAAGGTTCTTATGAATGAAAATATTATAAATTCTATTCATTTTTGATTTTTGTTGAAAGTTGAAATGGGCGGGCGCTAGTTTTTAATAAATTTAGTATGTCACGATATATACATCATAAAAATCTTTGATTTAGGAGATGATTGTGATCTTAAGATTATTATACCCATTTTTTGTGAGGGGAAAATCATACAATGACTTCTCCCGCCTGGGGTGCCTCAATACGCTTGCCCCGCAACCTCGGCTAAATCTATAATGTCAATACTCATTACCAAATGCTACTATTTTACTTTATCGAGTTATAGCATCATCAGAATTATAAATATTTTACCACCATTTCTGTGAGCTATCAAAAACAGTTAACTAACCGCTTACGGTCAGTCTGATGGGACCTTTATAGGGTGATATTGTTAGTCATTTTCTTTGAACCAATAACGTGAAGTTAGCAACTGAACGTCGCTACACCCAAAGAGGTTCTACGTTTGAATAAAAGTACCATTTTTATCGTAATAGTTTATTTACTTAAACAACAACAAAAATAATAAACAGTGTACGAATAATTACTTAAAGAACACTAAACTACTTAATTGCAAGCTATTAACTATTTCAAACTTAGGAACATAGAGGAAGATCTCAATGGATAAAATGTTACCATACATTGTTTATTACTTCCGTCATTACTAATTAATTGAATAACATTATATCACACGTAGCAGTTAAACTAAAACTTATCCTAAATTGAGTTGTTATAGCTATTTGAAACGTTTTCAAAGCAAGAGTTAAAAATAACTAGAAAATAGTTATTTTTTAGTAGGTCTGTACAAATGTTTTATTTGTATTTTCCTAATGTATCAGAAACAGCTATATAAACTCCGTATTATAATATGCGAATCTCTCCGCTGACTCGACCCACGCGATTCGCGTGACGCATATGTATCTAAATATATTTTAAAAATATAAATCATCTCGCAGCGTTATACTCGTCGTGAGTATTATTAAACGGAGACAACTCACTCACAATACCATGTCATGGCTATTTACAACGTTAAAATCTAATTTCCAATAATTAGCAACATCTTAACATTTCTACTAATTTTATGGACATTTTTGTATTTTTTTTATGGATAAAATTTACATTTCCTTGTGTTTTTATTAAAGCTATTTAAGTGTGATCTTGATGATGTCCGACCCTAATACAAATCCAGCCATACCTAATCTGCAAAGTGCACACTAGACGCTTTATGTAGCCTTCCTAATCTCTGCTTAGTGCTTCATACCTAATATTATAAAGGCTACAACACTATCCATTAATCGTCAAATCCTTTCCTCTATCCATTACCATACTTTAGTATGATACACCATAAGTTTCAAATTCATAAGATCAATAGATCAACAAATGATAGAATATTTTTGTAATACTTCAATCATAGCTAGTACAAACAATAGTGGCAGTATTTATATACATTTGTACCAAATTGGTTGACAAAAAATGGCCCAAAACACGCACAAAATAAGATAGAACCCGAAGAAATTATATATGTAGTAGCTTACACTTACGAAATGTGAAAGCAAGCTATATGAAGTCACTTATCACACAACTGATGTGCCAGGCTGAGGATGACATAGCCTTACAAACACACAATACATTAACTTATATCTTGGCATCTAATTAACAATTCTTTGTATAACACCAATTAGGTGCTTACATATTGAGTGTACTGTATATAAGTACTATGTCCACCCCTTTTGGGCAATAAGGGCTATTGTTTTTTATCTGAACTAAGCAAGGAGTTTGTTAACACGTCTAAAGGCGTGAGACTAGCCTATTCCCTATTGGAAGAAAAGGCGTAAGGTCAACACTAGTGCCATATTTATGGTGTACATAAAAACATTAGCTCCCATTGGGACATAGCCTGAGGCCAAATATACCAACGTATGTCTCACTAGGCAAGCACTATCGTTATCTGTTCGCAATGTAAACGCCGCTAGGCATACACTGGCGCTAGTACTGTCCCCGTTGGAAGCCCAGTCCCACTCCCCGCATGGTGTGTGTGGTAGCTCGAGCAACTTCATACTGAGCTTGCATTGCTTGGAAGAGTTCTTCTTGCTTTTTGATCGGATCGACTGCTTTTTCTGGAGCCTCGTTCTTAACGGCAGCTGTATAGAGAAAACTTAGCATTAGCAGTGTATAGTTCTACTTTAGAATAGCATTCGAAACATGAAGTTGAAATGTCATATCTCTTTCTTCTTTTGCAAAGTGGTATACTTTAAAAACGCCATAATATTACTTAGCACTGCAATGTATATTTTAATTTGCATCAAAATATATATGTATGTCAAATACAAAGAATGAAGCCAATCAGACTTTTGGGTGTTATAGTCATATAACAAAGATATAATATGTATTTACCTGGTTCCTTGATTCCCATGAGCCTCATGAACTTGGACACCTGTTTGCCATCAGAGTCCTGTGCGAATCTTGTTCCACTCCACTTGGCAGCCTCTTCAGCTTCGGATTTGTTTTTATTTGACCACAATAGCTTGCGTTTTTGTACCTGTGAAACAAACAAAGTCGTATTCTCTTCTATACACCTATGTATGCTTAAATCTTTAGATAGAGTGATAGAAGATAGATAGAAGAAGAAGGATTAAATAGTGAAAGAATTTAGTATCAGCATTTGCACCCATACGAAACAGGGGTAGGTAGTTTTCTAGTTATATTATAAACATAGTAGGATAACAAATTTGTTTTGATTTATTTATTTAGTTATATGTGACAAAAACAGGTAAAAGAAAATAAATATTCAAAATCACTGCAATCTTTATCGCCATATGAAATTGATTTCAAATAAATCACAGATTTATTGTATTGTTATATGTGTTTTGCCTCTACTTTCCTGAATTTTGTAATATATTTTTTTTCAAGGAGTATTGGAACAAGAAGTCGGACAACAGAAATATGCCTTATTATTGCAATTTAAAAACATTAAAATACCGTAAAACATGTTGAATAGATACACGAAAGGAATGATTAGATGTTGGCGAACTTTTCTAGTATCTAATTACCCCTCTTCTGTCTCTATTTACCCCTCGAATTCTATTCACCCCGTTTTACCGTTAATTATAAGGTGATGATAACATACCTGATCCATAATTTTATTAGCATTGACAGCAGTAGGGTTGTAGTATGACGGAAGGTGGGACCCTTGGGTCGGGACTTCGCTGGCGGCCGCGCGCAATTGTTGAGCTGTCGCCATTGACCCATCGGGCGTTTTGATTTGAAGACCTGGTTGATACACAGAAACATTATTAACAAGAAAATATGAGAGCATTCCATATTTGAGTCATTAGGAGAGCAGAAGTGAAATAACTAGAATCGTGATGTTTAGAATTCCGCTGTCTGCGTCCCAGAGAAAGAAAGAGAAAGAGGTCAAAACTTACCTTCCCATGTATCTTAAAAAATAAACAATAATATTGAAGTGTTATCATAAAAATCTGTTTATAAAAAACATAGATATGCAGAGCACTAAGCATATTTATTTTATCATATAAACTAGTGCTTGACTGCAAATCCCACCTGATGGTAAGCAGTGATGTTGATGGTAAGGTGGACTAGTTTATTAAGAGTATTCTCTAGCCTTGAAGATACCTAAATTACTGAACAGGAAGACCATATTGATATTAACATCTAAGATCATTTAAACCATCCGAATACCAGCCCGTCCATTTAAAAAATCAACTTTATAGTTTCACAATTGAGTTGAAAATATTTTAATTTAATTTATTGAAGTAATTTGACTTTAAGGCTTTTGTACCAAATATTTGAGTTCCAATACTGACCCATCTTCTCCATGACTTCAAGTTTTCTGTTGACTTTGTAGGAGGAAGGTCTGTAATCTCCTCCAGGTGGGGATGAGCGTCGGTCTGAGGAGTGTCCGGGTCCGTACTGAGCACCGCGGGACGACGAGCGAGAACGATCGCGACGGTCGTGTCTGTGGCTTGAAGACCTACAAAATAACATAAATACTTATTTGATATGAGAAAGTATGGATATATTATGTTTGTTATTCTTTCCAGCGAAAACGGCTGAACCGATTTGGTTGAAATTTGGCATGTAGATAGAGGATGCCCTGGATTTTTACTTTTTGCCACGCGGAGAAAAGCCGCGGGCGGAAGCAAGTAAATTATATTAACTCAATAAATAGATAAGTTGTAAGTTTACTATAGATTGGTTTTAGATATAAAAGTCTTATCTTTTAAATGAATATGCAGTTTTTACTTGGTCATGATTACTTAGCACAATAACCTAATTGTTTGCAGAACACGACAAATAAATGTTACACAAATAACTACTCAATCATATTTACAAAAGTGTTGTATTATGTTAGCTTACCGTCTTTCCTCTGAACGCCTGCTATGGCGATCTCTGTCACGCTCGCGTTCTCTGTCTCTTTCTTTATCGCGGCGCTCGCGGTCTATGAATCTAAAACAAGGAAACGCTTCGTCTCAATATTTCATACCTCGAAGTATAAAGCACTTTTACTTTTATAACTTACTAGTCATAAAATATTAACAATATTACAATGCAATGGTAATAATAATTTGATTGTTTAAAGGGTAAAGATGGCGGTTTTTTTTGCAGCTAGCATCTAGTTTCTCTACTAGACATTCCATTCACGCCAACTTCGTAGGTCTCATGCTAATTTATATTCAAAATTCCATTTAATGTATTTTCTGCAATAAAAATTTCTTATTGGAACCATTTTGTGATTACTTAACTATTCCAAAATAAAGATTTTGTTTCCTAAACAATTTCTAATGCAGACTGACTTATGTAACCATTTACGGTGGTCTTCAATTACATACCTATCTGTAAATCTGTCTGTCAGAGATAGAATTTCAACATAAGCTCTATATGGAACATTATTTATTTAGGCTTTTATGTAGACAAAATGAAAAAAGTTGATGGCTAGAAAATGAATCATAATTTTACAGATACATAGCAATTGAAAACAGCCATAAATAACACTAACGCCCGGTTTCCGAAAGGCCGATCAATGTTAAAATCAATTTAATCTCTTGTCAAGTCATCTGATTGGTTGACTGAATTATCAACAACCAATCAGATGACTTGACAAGAGATTTAACAGGAGATTAGTTAATTTTAGCGTTGACAAGCCTTTCAGAAACCTGGTGTTAGTATGGTAGTTATCTTCTTATATATAAAAATGGATCGCAAAATGTGTTGGTAAGCGCATAACTCAACAACGCCTGGACCAATTTTTCTAATTCTTTTTTTGTTATTTTGTTATTGGCAGGAGAAGGTTCTTATGAAAGAAATTATTAGTAAAGTAGAGGGGAAGATTAGGAAAAAGTGACCCTTTGATAGCGAGATAGATGGACCCGTGCGAAGCGGGGGCGGGCCGCTAGTTTATTATAAATGTTAATTCTGTACCTAGGAGACACAGCATCTCTAGCGTCATGAGATCTTCTGTCCACCGGCGGTGGGATTTCACAGCCGTAAGGTTTCACGTCCAGCAGGGAAGGAACTTTCTCCCGGTCATCCGGCCGATCACCCAGAAGACCGCGACGGATGCCATCGTTCGGGCGTCCGCGGTCACGCTCGCGATCTGACCTGTGATTGGAGAAACAATGATCTTAAACAAATTGTATTATTAATAATACAACAGCACAATAGTCCTGCATCAACCAGGGATCGTCCTTGGGTGCACTTTTATAGTGCATACAGGGATAATTGCCGGCTGATGTCCCATCACATTTATATTAAAATTGTTCAACGGGCCTCTGTGAGTTGGCTTCGGCTCCTCGTACGCCTTCCAAAGGTCCGGGATCTTGTGATCCCGTGAAAGGAAACGAACAACAGTAATTAAACATGTGATAGAGATTGCAGGTTATGTGGATGGATGGATGGTGGATCTTTTAGGAACACAATTGTGTAATGCGCAGCTAATCGACTAACTTCAGTTTCGCCGTTGACGTTGGCGGTATCGTAAGTTTCAAATCCCCAATCCACCGTGAGCAGGCCTGTCAATGAATGCTCTTCTCCATGTGAGAAGAGGCCTCTGCTAACTACAGTCAGAGGGCACTTGTTGATTAATAATATTTCATTTAGATTAAGGTTTTGGGATTCTGCGCAGTTGACGCCGGTCCCTCGTACGCTTTCCAAATGACCGGGATCCAGTGGTCCCGTTATTGGTAAGGACTGTAATAATAATAATTTTTACCTGTATTTATCATCCCTGCGCGGAGAGCGCCTGTCGGAGCGTTCCCTGTCGCGCGGTCGGGCGGGAGACTCGCGACGTCTGTCACGCCGATCGAACTCACGGTCACCGCGGTCACGATCGCGATCCCTTTCGCGTTCACGATCCCGGTTGTCATCTGTCAACGAAAACAAAACATTGAAATAACTAAGTACTTACATTTTGTTTTTAAATGGTATTTGTAGGGTTTTTTTTAATTATACTTTTTATAATATATTTTCTTTACTTGGATACTAGCTACTGCTTACGATTTCACCCGTAGTACCGGGATATAAAGTAGCCCATGAGGTATTCCAGATATAATCTATTTCTGTGTCAATTTTCATTACGATCCGTTGGGAAGTTTTTTCGTGAAAGAGTAACAAACATCCATCCATACTTGTAAAACTTTCAATTTTCTAGTTTCTCAATAAATATAAATATATCTTTTATAATGAGTGCTAACCGTAAGCTAGCTATATAGTATAACTTAGGTCGTCGCGAATCTCTCAGAGAAAAGTTTAAAGAGATCAACATTCTGACCGTACCGAGTCAATTTATTGATGAAAACATTATGTATGTTAGGAAAAACCTACACTTATTTGTAAAGGTATCTGACAAACATGATTATCATACTAGACATAGGAATAGATTGAGTCAGCCTTTATTTAGATTGGCAAAAGTGCATAAGTCATTCCTGGGTTTCTGTGTTAAATGTTATAATAAAATCCCAGTTGAAATTCAAAATCTAAATGAAAGCAAATTTAAATTATGTATAAAGAAACATTTATGTAAACTAGCATATTACAAACAATGATTATATACAAGATAAAAATGCTTGGAGGCTAGCTGGTCCTACTCCACAGGATGTTTAGAAGAAATTTTGATTTTAATTATTAATTTGTACACTATGTTGTTAATTGTTGATTATCTTCTAAGTTTTTGTAAATGTGAGTGCCCTGTAACCTATTATAATTAAGTAAGACTTGTAGAATATAGGTACTTGTGTCGGCTGGGAGCTGTCATGCTCACTCAGAGGTCTCATTGGCGGTGGCGCGGGCACTGGATCGCCCAATTCCCTATAATATGGTTGAGTTGGGCGGTGCTGGTGTACGTGTGTTCGTGAACGGGCGCCGCCTATTGGGACTGATCAGCTCCAGTGGTCTGTCTAAATATGTTGTCCTTGAGGTTCACTTCTTTTTCGTACTTTTTGCCTGAACATTAGTGTTACATTGTTCTCACATATCAGAACCGACTAAATGATGTAACAAAGAAATGTATTGTAAAACTGATTGAAAAAGAGTAACCATGGAGTTTCTTGCTCGTTCTTCTCCATAGGAATCTACACTTTGGAACGAGCAAATAGCTTCACTAGAGGACAGACGGACAGACTGACACGCTTAATTTTAAAGCTCTTTTTGTATACTTTTTTCCTTTTTTGCTTGCTTGACGTTCAAAAGTGCCTACTGTGGTCTAATTGAAATAAATGATTTTTGTCTTTTGTCTTTTAAGCACACAAAACGTCGCGATACTTGCAACTAATTACCATGTACATGTTAAGGTTATGTGCAGGACAAAATTGAGAAAAAAAGAGCCCATACCGTGGTCCAAGACAACTATGACTAAAAGACGTTACAATAGCATAGATTCCGAAATCTCGCCTGATATCGAAATTATTAACCAAAATCACTATAAACTAGCGAGCCCTCCGGCTTCTCATTGGTGTAATGCTGATACTGAATTTTTCAACTGTGTAATGGCTATTATTATACATATAAACCTTCCTCATTAACCACTCTATCTATTTAATATACCCTAACATAATCTGTTGCGTAGTTTTAAAGACTTAAGCATACATAGGGATATAGGGACAAGGGACAGAGAAAGCGACTTTGTTTTGTCCTATACATATAGTAGTGACAATTCTCTCAAAATATTATTGGGTTTAATTTTACCAGTTGTGTAGAAATTCAATATTGAAATATTGAATATTCTAAATCTCTACATAAATATAATCGAAAACAATGTTTTCGCTTGTTATCAGATGACCTTATTCGAGACTTGAGTACTACCGATTCAAAATAACTATTTTATAGATTGGAAAAATATTTTATGTAAAGCTTATGTTTAGAAGGAGGTTGCATAGCATAGAAACAAATTCAACATAGTTAGCCGTTTGTCTGCGCAATGGATCTTTTAGGAACAAAATTGCGTACTGCGCAGCTAATCGGCTAACTTCAGACTCGCCAAGATACGTCGGACGTACTGTAAATTCGAAGGAACAGTAACCACAACCAAATGGATACTCATTTTTATGTACGTAATGTTATTTTATAACCTACGTAGGTACTAATAGTGAAAAAGAATTCGATGCCTATCATAAATTTTACGAGTGCGTAGTAATAAAAGTTATAGTTTGATATTTTGTAATTTTTTAAGTAGCATTTATAAGTTTTTAAGTAGTATAATTTTATTATTGTAATTTTTTTATGGTTTGGGGTCTGTTTAGTACCTATTTGCATGCTAGATATTATATAATATTCTTAGGAGTATGTAAAATCGCTGTTCGTCAGTCTCGCTAAAACTCGAGAACGGCTGGTCCATTTTGGATAATTTTGGTCTAAAAAGTCAGACAATATAACTAAGTAATAAATTATTTGTCATATTTGAAATATCATCGAAAAAATCAAATATCATAGTTAGACTATATTATTAAGCTTATGTTTATTAAGTTATCAACTTACTGGACGGCCGTTCTTCGCGTGATGAATGCGGATGTGGCGTTGGCTCAGCCTGCGGCAGCTCGGGCTCTGACTCGTCCTGGGAATCCTGCGACAAAATACATCAAACCTACATAAAATTATTACACATTGTATACGTACAGACTTGTATGAAATACACGTAATTTGTTAAAAATGATAACAGCATTTTACTAAAGTGAAGTTACATATTTGATTATTATTATTTAGATATATTTGATTGTATTTAATAATATATTTGGTTTTCATATTAACAAAAATATTTTAGCAACAGAAATGTGCCTGATAATCTAATTCAGAATTCAAATGAGATTTTTTAGCAAGAATCTCATTAAAACTTTTGTTTAAATTACAATATATAATTGAGTAGGAGGATAGACTTCTTAAGTCCGAAATAGGGAAATAAATATTATATGCGCAATAATAAATAGATAATATAAAATAAATATAATTAAATAGTTGATGACTCTCTTATATTGACTGCAGGATAGGCATAGTAAATTGGAAACGAGCTTAGAATGGGCAAGAGAAACCTCTCTGAGTTTCATTTATCCCGCATCAGGGTGTAATGTCTCAGAACACAAGAGAAAATCCTGGTGAGTTGCTTCATTACCTACAAGGTAAAACTACGATTTCAACATACGCGTTAATCACGACTTTATAACTACCTGCGTCATTGATATAAATAAAATCTCTATACGAGATAAGCACTAACATTTTTCAAAAAGTCCTGCAATTTATTTGTAGCTATATACTTAGAAGTATCAAATAGATTCATTTAATCTGTGTAAAGTTAAAATTACGGTGACATTTTTTTTTCAATTTGGTCTTACCTATATAGATAATTATGTATCTTATACATATATCTCATGTAGTTATATCTACCCCCATGCCAACAATATGCGCTATTGTTGCCACATGTGATCCAATGTAACATTAAGTATAACCAATCATTTTGTTCAAAGCTATGGTGATGTTGATAAGAAAATGGAGAACCACACACCACCATTTGCATCTGCATGCAGTAATGTTGAACCAAAATATTTCCACCACATAAATATCTGTGGGACACAATAATGTCTTCATTGTTTGTCAAATTACAAGACGCCGGCGCCATACCAAGACGCGGCGCTCGAAATACAGCTTTATTTCCTTTAAAAGATATACATATTTCATGCGATACGTATCGCACTTCGCAAAATCGTCGGCCTTTTTTAGATTCATCGTGTGTGAATATGTTAACTTAGTCAGCTACTTTCAAATAGGCACGTACAATAAATATGGCCATTGGTACTTAAAACTAAAGATTACTTTGAGCAAAACTTCATAATCAATTTAAATATGTTTTCTGATTTACCTGTAAAATCCCAATATGCAAAGCATGTAGCTTTTAACATATCTCCAATGATAATTAGAGAAAACCAGTTTTGAAGGCAAGCAGCTGATAATAGTTACCATTAAGATAATTAAACAGTTAACACTAATATAAAAATTATGGGCATTATTCATAGAAATAAAACCTCTTTTCGTCATTTGTCAAAGTCAAACAGATACATTAAAAAAAATTAACTAAGTTATAAGACACTCCTATATGACAAATAATTTTATTAGTACAATTGTTTATTATTTGACTTATACCACTGTACCATAACTTAGTTGTGGCTTGGCGAGTAGAGAAGAGATTTCACATAAAGGTAGATTATTAATCACAGCAACAGCGTTAAAAACAGCTGAAGAATAGCAGCTTCAGCTAAGATTCCCGCCAAGTGTTCGCTAAGGCACAGTACATAACGGTCAATCTATATTGATAATATCATATGGCGAAAAAAAACTTTCTCTATAGAAAGATAAAACTTACAAAGTCTAAATTAAATATAAATTCAGTGGACAATATTGTAGAATTATTTGATTTCTGTTTAGGAGACTTGCTTCATACGAATATGGAAATGTGATTAGGTAATGTCGTCTTAGAGTTTGGTTTATCTTACATCTATGTACTCACGTGAGCCTGAAGTTAAAGGGTCGCAGTGTGCACGGACTCGGTCGGTCATCTTGTAGCCTCGGCACGTACTCAAGGGGTATTTGACTTTTGTTTTGTGTCAATTTACAAATGGGTAACATATAAAATAATAAAAGTGTTAATATCATCGTTGAAAACAGCATAATGCAAAGTTGCTTTTTTATTTATTTTACTTTAACTCTATTTATAAAAAGTGTACTATATGATATTATTTAATTACTATTGTGAGAAAATAAGATTATATTAATGCTGTGAAGGATGTAGGCCTTAAGCCTGAATATAAATGAAGAATAGACTACTTAGTTATTATTTATCTATTGTTAAGCCTCATCACATATAAGAAAAACTATAGTAGGGAAGAACAGTTGGCCCTGGTCAGATGATCAGATATCAAGAGTAGCTGACTGGAGCCACTAATGAACTAGCATATGTGATGCTGGGGAACGTACATAGGCGACAGTTACCTCGCTCATGTCCATGTTGACGTCATCGTAGTTGGTATCGTCGTCCCTGCGGCGGGCGCCAGAGCCTCCCGCTGCCACCTAAAATACCATTCTATTGTCAAGCAGAGAACGCAGGTTAATATCCATGATTCTCATAAACATTGCATCAATACACATTATAAATAATCTTAACGTAAACATATGCGATTAAGCCTGAAATATTTGTCAAGGACGCTAAAAACTTACCAATGGTTGTTGGCTTCCATAGCGTTCGGACTCATTCTCATCGTCGCTACCGTATCCCACAAGGCAATCCATTCTTCAATAATACTACCCAATATTTAGATTTAAATTAATGTTCTCGTTAAATCACAAGGTAATCGTTATAATGGTTTCAAATAAAAGTAGTAGTAGATAAGTGCAAAAAAATTCACACACTATAATATTTTTTACGACTGAAATTGACACAGCACCTAAGAGCAATTATTCTATGTCTTAGCACAGCACAGATACACAAAGACAAACAAGTAATATTGTCTATTAATGGTGACCACAGAATAGACTTCAGACAGGTCTTAGTCATCTTTCTCTATGGTGTCTATGATGACCCTACGACAAAATGAGAAAACCTGAGTAAAAAATTATTATTAAAAAAACAAAATACCCGACTGCACACTAAAAAAAGAGTAAAACAAGCCCCACAATACAAATTTACTGAATATAATTTATAAATGTTGATGGAAAGCATCGCAGGCGGGGACCAACAGAGGCTTATTTATAGTCATTTCTGTTGTGCACCATTTAGCAGAATTTTCGTTGGTGGCGGTCAAGGTGGTCCCCGCCTGCGATGCTTTCCATCAACATTTATAAATTATATTCAGTAAATTTGTATTGTGGGGCTTGTTTTACTCTTTTTTTAGTGTGCAGTCGGGTATTTTGTTTTTTTAATAATAATTTTTTTATTTATAACTTTTTAGCTGTTTTTATTTAACGAAAATGTTGTAGATGTAGAAGACTATGTATATGTAAGTACCATTTTAAATTATTTCGACGACATTTGGCTTTAGATTACGAGTGATGTTACTCCGCAACATAAATTTACCGCCAATCTGGACTGTTGGTAGTGAAGAAGAAAAAGAATTAGGTGAGTCATTACTGCTGAAGATCCCGCATCTTTTTGCTTGCTAACGCATGAGTTGCTTTGCGTTGACGCAGAATTAACATGTTCCCGTGGGAATTTTGAGAAAAAACGTATCCTATATTAATTACTCCCGTGATTGAAATGAATCTAATGATACCGCATACATATTTTTTTAAAGGGAAATTTAGAAAAAATATTATTATGTCTTTATCCCGTGGGACTTTTAGGATAAAATGTATCCTATGACACTCCCGTAATCAAGACAAATCTAACGATACCTCATACATCAAAATCCATCAAGCCGTTTAGGCTACAGGAGGTCACAAAGGAAAAGACATACATACATACTTACATACACTCGAAAAACATTACCCCTCCTTCTTTGGCAGTCGGGTAAAAACAAATTAAAGTGAGATTAAAAAAATAAAATTGTATTAGGTATTTCAATTATTTGTCAAGTAAAAGCGTCGATGTTAACTAAAATATTTTTCTTTCAATCTACATTTCTTACTATTAATTTTTGATGGAGATGTTTTTAAATAGACCGCGAAATTTAAATTCAACACAACAACAACAGATCAATTTCAGATTTTATAGTAATTAAAGTATGATCATCTATGCTAATATTATAAAGAGGGATATAAAGAGGTAAAATTTGTAAGTGCTGTGACCAGTGAACCACTGGTCGGATTCCCAAAACTGTTTCACGTATTCATAGCTACAATGTTCCAGAGTGCTATAAGCTATAAAATATCACGCTACAAGCAAATGGAGCCGAGCAGGGAATAAAACCGCGCGGGAGTAGCTAGTAAAATATATTTCAGCGGTTATGACAATAAATGTTTGCATAAAATGTGCTTCAAAGTGTCGGTCAATCAACAAATATGACTAGCTCGCACTTTTCATGCGGTTTATGGCAGTGCACAGCGACCGCTTTGAACCAGGCAACTGACCTAACTATAGTTGGATCTTTAAAAAACCAACAAATTTCGCCATCACGAAACATTGTGTACAGTATAATTATGCACTAGCACGTGTTGAAGGTGTCAGTAACAGCGGAAAGGGGTGTCAGACTGGTGCAATAGTAAATCGCACTGTCGGAATTTACTATTCTTCGAGGGATGAGCTACAGCGTGACCGGCGACCCTATGGTCGAGTGGAGGTCATGAGTGTGTCAACGGAGGGCAGGGCTCGCTGGTATTGGAACCGTATAGCGTTTCTTTGTGGAGTGGCTTAAGAGACGCCAGGGCATCCTCGCCTGCCGCCTGACACATGTGCTTACCGGACGGAAGTACCTGCGATGCACCCATAAGATGCGGAGGTGATGAGCTTTACCATGACGTCGCGTTTCGCGCGCACATCAAATAGCCATTAGACCACCATCTCGTTGTCCTGGCTTACTGTCATTCTCTGAAGGGCAATCTTGAGGAATGGGGTGCATAATGAAAAAAAATAATCTTTGATTGTGTAATTGTAATTAACAGCTTAAACTGCCAAACTGCCTACTTCAATATTCCTGTATCAAACGTCCTTTTAGTTCTATCTTGAGCTCATGTAGGTACAACAAATACCCTTGCGGTTGGCGGTTTTTTGTATCCTAAAGAAAAGGAAATGCAGGTTGAGAAGTTTCATCCTCTTCATGCCCCAGCGGACTGACCGCTTAACGACTAGACCTAGACCCGATTTAATCAATGTATCACCATCTTTGCCGATGTTCAGCCGCATGCGCCTAGCATGGGGCAGATATAAAAAGGTATTTTTTTCTGCCCCATGCTGAGCTGAATCTTTAAGATTACACTTAAGGAACCTGCCTGATAATTTCTGGTTAGGGTAGAAGGGTAGAGAGGTAAGGTGGGGTAGGCAGCGTAGGGTAGGTAGAGTCGAGAAGGTAGCGTAGTTTGGGTAGAGTCGAGAAGGTAGCGTAGGGTAGGTAGAGTCGAGAAGGTAGCGTAGTTAGTGTAGTTTAGTTAGGGAAGGTAGGATGGGGTGGGTAGGGTAGTTAGAGTAGGAGAGGTAGCGTAGGGTAGGTAGGTAAGGCCGATAGTGAAGGGTTACCTAAGTAACCAGGTTGGGTGGAGTAGGTAAGTCAAATGACGGGAGCGAAGCCGCGGCTAAGTATTAGTACATATTTATAATTTATACTTGGTTTGCGTATTTTAGTCAAGCTATCGCTCTAAATGCTGAAGTTTTTAAAATTCCGTGATACATTATTTTTATACGCGTGCGAAGCCGAGGCTAGGTAAACAGCAAACAAATGAGAACAAAAATTGATTGTAATATCTGTTTAATATTGTTTTTTTACTACCACTAAAGGTCACTGTCGTTAAATTATTAATATGTACAGTATTTACAAGATTTGAAAAAATATATTAATATGTGAATCTATTTAACCCTCCAAACATCAACATAGAAGAGGAGACCAGCAATAGCATTGTTTTTAATGAATCCCAGTCTGACTTTTTCCATGTTTGAGAGGTAAATGTTATTACATATCACAATACTTAATTTTCTATTATGCTAACTGACAATTTACTAAGGCATGTTTGCAAGGACAAAATCTATTAATTTTCTCGTGTATTATTTTTATTTTGTGTGATTCTATCCTTATCATAATCAGTTTTGCCTTGAGCTACCAAGAATAGAAACAGACCCCCTAGAGCTACCATCATGTACATAAAAACTTCTTGTTTACTTGATTGTTCATAATCTAATTGCTTTTCTTGTTTCTTTCTTATAAACTCTTTCTCATATTTTGATTTTTCAAATAAATCTCCATAGTGGTTTTTAGACCTGAAAAAAAAAATACTTGTTAAAATTGACTAGACATTTATAAAATGTAAGAATATCCACTATATTTACATACCAAGCATCAAAGTCATAAATAGGCCTTCTACCATCCATTGTAGGCACCACCTTACGGTATGCATGAGATTTATAGAATTTGAGTGTGGGATCTGTTGGCTCAGGGTCTGGCTCATAATTCGAACTCATTTTGGATTTCCCTCTTGCACCTAGCAACCCTGAAATATTTAATTATCAATTTTTTACCCACATCACGAAAAAGAGGTTGAATGTGAATGGTCATATTATTGAAAAGTTGATGACATTCTTTGCAATGTTTGGTATTATATTAAAATAAAGCTTGTAAGTATTAATTTACCAAAATGATCTAGCTAATATGATTTTAATGAGACCAATAATTGCCTTATAATTGAAACCAACCTCTATCATACATCTTTTTTAATTTTACATTTCCTAATACCTCATAGGCTTCAGTTATGGCTCTAAACTTTTTGGCTGACGTTTCATCCTGAAAAAGCCACATTATCAATGTTTGTTTGTCATGTTTTATTGTTTTATTTGTGTTGAAAAGCAAGAACACTTACGCTAGACTTGTCTGGATGGTATACTTTGGACAGTTTGTAGTAAGCAGTTTTTATATCATTCTGTGTCGCATTAGGAGTTATTCCAAGCACATCATAGTGATTACTGCTGGCTAAATATCTCGACGAGGTGCTCAGCGACCGTACTACGCCATATAGCCATGGTGAAATATGGATAAGCATCTAAATAATAAAAATCTAGTTAAAGTCAAAATTTTAATAACAAATAATTCGTTATTTGGCATGTTCATCTTCATACTAACCTGAGCAACAAAGATTTTGACCTAAATTAAATTAAATACCGTAAGGCATAAAAAATATAAAAATTATGAAAAACCCAGACAGAGTAGTTGAATTTCGGAACTGTTTATGTCACTTTGATAGGAAAATCTTACGTCAAAGTCAATAGTCGCAAATTATGTAATCTGTGTGAAAAAAAATTGAAAATAAAAAAGGTTGAATTTATTTGAAAATTTAATGGTCCCAAGTTTCTGTGATGTAAAAATTTTTACTCCAATGACAAATACAAACATTAATATGGAGGAGAGATAATTACTATATAAATAAAAAATGGCAATACTAAATAAACGTTCCAAACCTATGGAATTTATAAATATCTTCTATGCTTTCAAGTTCTTCAAAATTAGAAATAAGCAGGAATTGATTGAAAAAAAAAAATAAAGGACAGAGAATTGCTACTTTAAATAAAACCACATAAAACAAACAATTGTTGATTGGTTGATTAACTCAATTATCTTAGCTTTAGGGAGACAAAAAACAACGTTTCCGAATGTACGCTGTACACACCTAACGTAACGTCAAATAAGTTAGTGTTAGTCATCATCGAATAAAATACGAGTAAAATTCGTTTTTATTCGGGTTCAAACCGTTGTTTTATTGTTGTGTTGAATCTAAAAATACAAGTAAGTCATATTGGATACCTGAGTAACTTTTCATATTGCTTGTTTTCTAGCAGATGTTAAGTGGTAAATGTATGTCCATTTATGGAAGTCCTTGCCTCCTTGGATTGTGTGCCCTAGATAAACTTCGTTACTAATACTGGAAGGCGGTTTTTGGCAGTGAGTCACTTTCTCGTTAGCGCACGAAGCTGACGACAAGCTGAGTGACATCTTGCCTTCATTAAAATTATATTTTTAAAATAGGTATCACAAGTAACTAGAATATTTTCGTAAAAAGCGATCAGTGTTACGTTAGCTACCTGCCTTATCAGCGTTGATGTTGTAAAAGGAAGTTATTTATGTGTAGCAACCTCTTTGGTGTATTTATTTTGGTCTTCTTAGTTCAAAAAACTGTGAGTCATGCTCAATAAGATAAAAGCATGAATATGACCATCTGTTCAGTCTTTGTCATATTAATATTTTGTTTTCAGATATCACAATGTCGTCCCGCAAGACAGCTGGTCGCCGTGGCACCAACAAGAAGCGTGCCCAGCGTGCAACTTCCAATGTTTTTGCTATGTTTGACCAGGCACAGATTGCAGAGTTCAAAGAAGCCTTCAACATGATTGATCAGAACAGGGATGGATTTGTGGACAAAGATGATCTGCATGATATGTTGGCTTCTCTTGGTAAGGATAAATAGTATCTTTCTTATTAAATTCTGTACTTATTGAAAGATAATGCCCAAGGTGTGTATTAGAAGTAACAAATGAATAAACAATGAGTTATTTGCATATCTATTCCATTAGACAGTCAATGTCACCTATGTGTACAAGAATATACATTATATCCACGAGCTAGAACATATAAGTCACAAATTCATATTAGATAGTTTAGTTCATTATTTTAAATTATTTTAGGTAAAAACCCGACAGAGGATTACTTGGAAGGCATGATGAATGAGGCTCCAGGTCCTATCAACTTCACTATGTTCCTGACTCTCTTTGGTGAGCGTCTGCAAGGAACAGACCCTGAGGATGTCATTAAGAATGCTTTTGGGTAAGTTATTTCTCTCACCTAATATTTATAAGAGCTTGGCAGTAATAAACTCTTAATGGCCTGATACACTTTCGATGATATTTATAAATTATCATGTCATAGTATCTTTGATACTCAAGACAAATTCTGAGTGCTAGCATTGCCCTAGTTACAGTGCTAAATCATGCAATTATGATGACTCAACATTTTTCCAATAATATAAATTCAATGACAAATTCTTTGGAGAAGTTGGTATTTTATTAAAATTTTGTCTGCAAACTAATACCTAATTAACTTGTTCTGAGAAGATTCTGATTAGGTAATTTGCTAAATGCTAAGGTCATAGGCAACAAAGACTTCCATTTTCATTTTTGATACTGTCACTATGGATTTTTTTTTGTATGTCCTATGGAATATAAAAATGATTACTTTTATCCTGGTACTACAGCTGAAGCCACTATCAGAAGCTATTACTGCTAATGAATTATAATATTATTAAGTCATAGTCCATTAAATTTATATTTTTAAATTTATACTGATTTAAAAAGAGTAACCATGGAGTTCCTTGCTCGTTCTTCTCCATCGGAATCTACACTTTGGAATGAGCAAATAGCTTCACTAAGAGGACTGACCAACAGACTGACACTATATCTTCAAAATTTTGTTTGACGTTCAAAAGTGCCTGTAAAGGTCAAATTGGAATAAATGATTTTTGACTTTTTTTTTGACTTAAAGAATATGATATAATAATATAAACTGTGGTTGACTTGTAAATGAAAATGTATAAATTATTATTATTTTTATTAAATATGTATATCATGAACTGTCACTAAGAAGAAGTATTTTGTTAGAATGGTTATTGTTTGGGCATTTAATATTGTAAAACTAGACTGAATAGTTGGCTTTGGTGCAATGGCATTCCAATATGGAACAATAATTTGTGTGATCTACAAATTGTTGTTTCCAGTCTGGGTGGCTTCTGTATGTGAATTTGTATGTTTGATATTTGCATCCACAACAAAGGAGAAATCCCTTATGTGGGGCTACATTTTAAAAAAAGAAAATAAACTAGGATTATAAGAAAACCAAGAATGTCAAACACTTGAGTCAGTAAAATACCGAAAATACCGAAAAAAGAGAATTATTAAATAATTGTAAGATGTATAATTTACTAAAGGATTTTCTAATACCATGAATGTCATGATATGACAAGGACAATAAAGGTTTCTTGGAATGTTCGGAACACAATAAAATATTTTAAGTAATGACGTAACTGATGTAGCTATTTATTTATTTTCTGTCCTCATTATTGTGCAGATAACAATGGTTACGAGTTACAACTTCATTGCTTTACATGCTCAATTGTAATTTGTAACTGATAAGTAATGTTTTATCCTTAAACAGTGTTTTGTCTTTCTATTATATTTGTTGAAAGAAGGTCATTGACATTAGTTTTTTATTTGTGCTTCTAGTCTCTAAATATTGTCTGCAAATGACTGCTTATTCATGAAAATCAAACAGCAAGCAACATTTTTGAGAGAATGTGTAATTATGTATTTATAGCTGGGGCCAGTAAACTTAGGACTGGAATAAACGCAATAAAAAATTAGAATGTAGAGTGAATTCAACATTTTGGGAGTGTTATTTAATTCAGCATTTTAGGGTTCTTTTTTGTGAAATAATATGGCAAACAAGTAGATGGATTTCTTGATGGTAAGCCATCAGCGCCGCCCATGGACACCCCCAACACCGGAGAAGTTACAAGTGCGTTACCCGCCTAAAAAGACGCCATTTTGAATAATTATATTATTACAGTTTCATAAATTTAGGGAAAGAAACAAGTTAGTGCTGTTTTATGCCGATATTCTGTGAGGCCGTGGTGTGTCACTCCGACCTGTGACATGATGTGTACACATACACAAATACTAGTTGATGAATATTTTTTGTATTTTGTCTAAAGGTTCAATACTTTAGTTGCACTAGCGTCCGATAAGTCTTGCGCTTATTGTACAAACAAATATTTAATTTTCAATCTTAATATTTATATGTACTCTTATTATTACTTATAGATTTTTTATTATAATAATAATAACTGATTGATTAATTTAACCTATTCCAGTTGCTTTGATGAAGAAAACCAAGGTGTCATCAATGAGGAGCGTCTTCGTGAGCTGCTGACCACAATGGGAGACAGGTTCACAGATGATGATGTTGACGAGATGCTCAGAGAGGCTCCTATCCGTGATGGACTCTTTGACTATGTGGAGTTCACACGTATTCTTAAACACGGAGCTAAAGACAAGGATGAGCAATAAGATTTTATCTCCAGGTGGGTGTAATCACATTAGAGATTGATTTATTAATCATGTAGCGCTTATGCAATTTGATAAATCAATAAAACTTGAATTTTGTTACGAATTGGATACTAAAATATATATTTTATAAGCAATGTAGTAAGTTTTGGCTGTCTTCGACCTTTGATTATTGGGAGAAGTAACATAAACTGTCTTTCGCTAAGAAAAAACAAGTCTGAAAAGAGCTACAATGTCCAAGGTCGAAGGTATTTGAGCTAAGAATATCCTTATTGGATTACATCTAATTATATTGTGGTTTCGACCTAACACCAGCAATAATTTTGATCATTATAATAAGTGTAAGCAATTCTAAAACAATGTTTTTTAACTGCCCGTTGACAATATGATGAATACCTTTTTCAATTCTGTACTTAAAACCGAGCCCCAATTTTTCAAAACTACAAATTAACAATGTTTTTTCTCTAATGTTGTCCAGTCAGAGTAATGAAGTACTTATGAGGTAAATCTGGTCAAAAACTATGATATTCTTTGCCCTCTGACTGAATTTACCCGCCTTAGAAGACGCCATTTTTAATAATTATATTGCCAAACGAAAAAATTGGTTAGAATCAGTAGGTTTTTAAGTTAGGATTCATATGGATTTCAAGATAATCTCTTAAAAATACTGAGGTGCTAAATATACCCTAGTTCTTACGGATACTGCATTTCCATTTCGCATTTTTTAAAATTAATTTCGTAATTCCATAATATTGGACCATTTATTAGTCTAAGTTTGGCCTGTGTCTTTGTAATCTGTCCGTGTATTAGTAGTTTATTGATTCCCGTTTTTGGCAACATTGTTATTGGAGAACAATAATCAGCATTCTGCATTTTTGTGTTTATATATGTATTAATTAAGTCAAGTACAATAAACATAAATGCTTTAGAATGTAGTAGGCATTGCATAAAAATTGGTATTTACTTAATTAAAATTAATGTGTAACAATGAACACAGTCATCAACATCAGTTTTCTACACATTGTGTCCACAGCAAATATCAGTGTTGCCATTCAATTCAAATGATTCTTATTGGTGAAGTATTAATTCTAACATTCCTTCAATTAGAGACTAACACATCTTTCAAAAATGAAGTTTTTTAAGTTGATATGACAAATATTTTTGTTTTTAAATTATGAAATGTTTAATTTTAGGTTTCAATAAAATTAAATTATAGTATTAACATAGTGTGTGTATAAGTTGTGTAATCATGTATGTATGTATTTGTTTTCATTTATTTACATTATAAAATTTATAATCTCCGACATTTTCGTTTTATTTCTTCCATTTGATAGGATTTACCCTGTGTTAGTGGCAACATCAAAAATTTAATAGGCAAACTCAATAAAGGAAATAAAATAGCAAGTAAATATTTAGATGAATATTCAATATTTTATTCATCAAGTAACATGTAGACACATTAAATGTGCAATTATTTTTTGGTTGTAGAAAACAATAAAAGTAGGTAACTTGTGTGCAATATTAATTACATAAAATATTTATAGGAACAGATATAAACTTATAATAAACCCTAATGACACGAGATAACACTGAGATTAACACAAAAATCTACTTTATTAATAACAGTCTTGGTTGATTTTTGATTGGCAAATAGACGCCGTGGCATTGAAGTTCAATCTTGTTAATTATCTCACATCATATGGTTTTAAGATCACTGGGGGTTATTTGGTTTATTGCCAGGCTTCTTTGATGAAGTGTGCGCATCTCTCGGCGACTGCCATGATGGCACCTTGTGGGTTTCCTGTGGGCTGTGACGGCATCGACCCAGCGTCGCATACTCTTAAAGCTGGAAATAGAACATAGCGGTCATTAGGGTCCCACATGGTGGAGTGTGTCAAGTGAAACAATGTGTCAAGATCAAGTTAAGTGTGAGAGAGTAAAGCTTCGACACGAATGGGTCGGCTCGACCTGAGTTATACCACGCCCTCACAGAAAACCGGCGTGAAAAAACCACAGCGTTGTTTCGCCGTGTGAGTGAGGTTACCGGAGGCCCGATCCCTACCCCTCTCCCCATCCTTTCTTAATCCTAAAATATCCGAACCCCTTATCCCCAAAAGGCCGGCAACGAGCTCGTAACTCCTTTGATGTTGCGGGTGTCTATGGGCGGCGCCGATTGCTTACCATCAGGTTACCCGTTTGCTTGTTTGGCCACGTATCCCATAAAAGAAGGTTGGTTGTAACATCTCGGTTTTGAAAGATAGTTTTTCGTTTATGGAAGTTGCATGTATGTGAGTTTATATGTAACAGCACCCTCGATGCTGGACATAATGTTATAATGGCGCAGTCACAAAAACTGTTGTCACAAGAAAAGGTACCTTAGTACCCTCTTACCTTTAAGGTTATAAACTCTAAGTTCTGGGTCAACGACCTTCCCGATGGCGCAGGTTCCGAGCTGATGGTTTTGTGGGTCCGTATGCACTCTAATCATGCACTCCTTCCAATCATCAGACCAGGCTGGCGCCACTTTGTCGCATTTTTCAGTGTATGTTGGGTCCAATTCGATTTCATATTGTTCTTGAAGGAGCTGTAAAGATATTATTTTTATTAATATAAAACATTAGCTAGGAACACTTGTCGCTATTACATTTACAACTTTATTCAGACGCAAAAACATATACATAGCATAAACACGCTCTGTTTAAAGCGAAAAAAATCAGGTTAATGAGAGGTATCTATCAAATGGACACCCTTTATCGACTGTGATGACAATGTCTTTAATGTACCTATTCTTTGTTGTAAAAGAAAGAATGAGGCATTTCCCAAATAGTCAAATTAAATATTTTTATTCAAAGCTCAAGAGGAAAAGAGAATTCTTAAAAATCTCATACGAAAAGTCTTAAAATTTCATAATGTATTTAATGGTTAGATAAATGTTATTTGCGGAATAATTATGATGCTGTTGCATCAGATTCAAGATTTGTATTAGACATTGACAGCTACAATTTTATGGCTCCGATAACATTTTATCTGACAATTGAGAAATCAGCCCTTAATGTTCAAAATAATTTATTGAAACTACCCAATTACCTCGCTATTAAATATTTGGCGCAAATAATCCAGTCCTTCCTTGATGACCTCCATGTCTACTGGGTCTGAGAAGAAGTTGGGATCGTAGATAGCTTGCTCGAAGGGATCGGTGGAGTTGATAGTCATGTAGCCTACACTGCGTGGTAGCAAATATACTGCGTTTGCTCTGCAAATATAATAAATAATTTAACACTTTAGTAGGTTTTATGATTTATGGTAGTGGCAACACTAATTTGAAAATAACGGACATTTCTTTGTGATTGAGGTGTAATTTATATTATAAATAGCTACATTGTACTGACGCCCGACCTGGGCAAGGCTCAACAGGTACCTACTATTAAATTCCGTACCGATCACTTTATTTATAATTCATTAATTATTGCTCCAAGGTCATGGCTAGGTTGTGTAAACCTCTATTTATATAAGGTATATAGCTTGTGTGCATTTACAATCAATCTAAAAATCATTTATTTCTATTAGACTCTTGCAGCCACTTTTGAACGTCAAAAAAGCTTAGAGATAAAAAGTGCAGTGCAGTCTGTCGATCAGTCCTCTTATTGAATCTATTTGCTCGTTTCAAAGCGTAGATTCCGATGGAAAAGAACGAGCACTCCATGAAGTAGTCTACTCCATGTAAGGTATTGTTATTTATCAGGAAAAGTAAGTAAACAATAAGTTCCACCACTATCTACAAGAGTGTAGCCTCAAATTACTACAATACATTTTGAACTTTATTTCAAAACAGTGAAGTTAAAAATTATAGTACTTATACTTACGATACATTGTAACCAGAATTAGGACATTCAATTGCAGGTTCCCCTATGGCGCCGGTTTTGGAACATTCAGCGTAGAAGCCGTTAAAGAAGAATTGTAGGTCGGGTTGTTTCAGCTCCTTTTTCGCGTAACTTGAGTACAGAAGACCCGTTAACTGTGTAGAGGACATAGCATAAAAATCATAATTAAATAGTACAAAGCAAAATGTTGTTATTATAATTTTCGTGAGACATTCTAAATTAATTATTAGGTTTTCGGCTTTACTCACTGTAGTGCAGCAGTTGCGTCGCGTGTCGCGGAATGCTGCTCATAAATATGGGCCTCTAGCATGGCTTGAAACTAGTCGAGTATCTCGTCAAATTATTACGTGAGTAAGCCGAAAACATAGTAATTAAAGCAAAATGTTCAGTGGGAGCTGTATGTTACTCTATAAATATAGCTGGCAAAAAATTCATCCTATTAAGTACGCTACATAGCCGAGAATGGGATCGAAGATGCTGATTCTATACGCTGCCTCACACTAGAATTTTCTTCAGTCGCGGGAGTGCATGTGCAAACATATAATGCCACACACATCACACCCAGATTTCGGATCTCGGACATGGGGATCACACAAAGAGTTGTTCCGTGCGAGTTCCAATCCGCGACTCGTAGCTCTCAACTCAGCATTTCGAAACCATTCAAAATAAACAAATAAAGGAGTCATTTCCCCTTGTAGAGGAAGGAGGAAGTGTCAGACTCTTACTGATAAAAATTTGCGCGAATTCTCAACCCGCGGCCAATCGACCAACGAGTCTAATAAAACAAGGTCTTACATAACACAATATTTGACACTTTCAAAGAATCCTCGCTCACCTGAGTAAGACCAGTAGAAGACATGGGTCCATCATTCTGCAGCAAATATTCCGTCAAAGCACTCCAGTCCAGAACCTGCGTGTTTTTGACCTTCTTCAGAATAAAGTATAGAGTAGCTCCACAGTGGTTCTTCAGGTTCTTGCCGACTGGTAAATCTTCGATGACTTTGATGCCTAGTGGTTCTAACGTCTCTTTTGGTCCTACTCCTGAATGCATCAAGATCTTGGGACTGGTTAAGGCTCCGGCTGATAGGATAACCTGGAAAAATAAGGATATTTATCTTAAGTATTAGAGTCAACATCACCAGTTCCCAAAAGTACACTTTGAGACCATGTGCCCCCTGTATGAGAAAGATTTACTTTACGTAGGAAATGAAACCTTCACACTTATCAGAAGGTAAAAGGAGGAGCGGGTGAAGGATAAAGAGGAGTTCAATATTATTACTATTAAGGTTATTTGGAGAGAAATATTCTTTTTAAATTTGGTTACCTTTCATCTCCCGGTAGAAAAATTATAAAAGTATATTAAATTATAAGAATTAATTAAGGATTTCGGGTAAAGTTCCGTTGGTGCTCATTTCGGAACCTACAAGCCAAATGTGAGGTTTCTTAGTCCTACCTAATTGGTCGTTTGCCCATTAAATCAGAAAGCAATACCTAATACAGAAACAGGTACTAAGTTTCTTACCTCTTTACGGGCCTTCACGACCTTGGTATTTCCATTTTCATCTACATATTCTACTCCGATCGCCTTCTTGCGTCGGAACAGGACTTTGGTCACATGGGCGTGGAGTTTGATGTTCAGGTTCGGTCGTTCTGATTGAGGTGGGAGGTAGGCACGTGCTGTGGTGTAACGCTGGCCGTTACTGAAACAATTTTTGTCAGGTTTAAAAGCTGTTCTGGTCATCACTACATACTCTACATAGTATAAAACTAAGACGCTTTCTTTGTCGCTATATTTCTATTTTTTTTATGTAATAGGTCGGCAAACGATCAGACGGATTACCTGATGGTAAGCAATCAGCACCGTCCGTGGACACGCGCAACGGAGGAGTAACGAGTGCGTTGCCGACCTTTTAGGAAGATTAGGGTTTTGGAGATTTAGGGATTGGGGAGGGATCGGGGGAGGAATGTCTGTCTAAATCTTCAAAATTACGCAACAGATTTAAAAAAAAATTGTTTTTAATTTATTCTTAGCGACGAAATATGTAAGTAGGATTTAGGATGTAGGAGAGCCAAGAAGGAAAGGGATGCAAGCCTTATTTCACAGAAAACCGACGTGAAATAAGGTTTGCGTTGTCTTACAACGTAGGTATAACTTAAGTTACCGATGGCCCAAACCTTCCCCCCTAGTCACATTCTCAAATTTCCAATCCTTAAATTCCTAAGTCCAAAATGGTCAGCTACGCACTTGGGCGGCCTGATGACTCACCGTATTCGTTTGCCGACCTTACCGATAGAAAAAAATCGTAAGCGCTTTTCATCAATCTTGTACAGTGGGTACAACGACAATTACTGTGATAATAATAATTAGTCTTAATTACCTAAGGGATCAGATAAGATCCGTCTACATTGGTTTTATTTCCTTATTTTTTATAGACTTGATAAGATAAACATATCTATTATTATTATTTTACAAGTTTCACGTAATTAAATGTTATTACTCGTGTAGGTAGGTACCTACCTATATTAATAACAAAATAATCTTTGAATAATAAGGTCTCAATACAAAAACAACATCTAACTAAACAATGTAGCTCTCAAAAAGGTATAAGTATGCTTGTTCTAGGATAATCCTGTATCACAGGTGAGAAGATTTCCTAAATATACTTATGGCAGGCAAAGTAATTTCATACATAATATGATAAGATAAATAATAAGATTGTCGTGGTGGCCCGGAGGTTAAGGAGTCCGCTTCTTATGCATGAGAGTGCGGGTTGGAAACCTGGCAAGTATCAATGTGACTTTTTCCGAGTTATATGTAGGTACTTTCTATGATTATTTAGACACCACTGACATACGGTGAAAGTAAACATCGTGAGGAAACCTGGACTTATAATTTCTAATTATAAGTTTATAATCGCCAACCCGCATTGAGCAAGCGTGGTGATTAATGCTCTAACCTTCTCCGTATGAGAAAAGGCCTGTGCTCAGCAGTGGGCACTTATGTAGGCTGATAATGATGATGATAATAAGATAAATAACGTTGTTGCTGATTAACGGGGTTGTCGATGTAAGCCCAATAGGTAATGGCCTGCGGCCCAGGCCCTGAGATAGAGAAGCATAGAGGTGGTTTTTTGACAGTAACAGTTTGACACTTTCAGAAGAGATATTAGACGATTTGCCCCCTCAAAAAAGGTTATTAACGTGATATATTATGCTTATAATAGTGAATCCCAATTTCCTTGGTCACGGTATCAAGGATTAGGTTCATTCATAGTTCATAATCAGGATAAGGTTCTTATAGAAGAAGAGGAGAAAATCGATAGATCACAACAATTTTGACGCTGTAGTAGTTTTCATAGTTGGATAACTGTGCGAAGTTGGGAAGAGTCGCTAGTTTAATCTATTGTTTGTGTTTATTAAGTATAATATAGACTGTATGTAGGTACTTTTTTGTGAGGGAAAAATCATCAATTGACATCTCTCGCCCAAGTGTCAGACTCTTACTGACTAAAAACCCCCCTGTTCCTTCGCCTTCTCAGAGCCGAGGTCGCGGTGCCTCATTGCGCTTATCCCGCAACCCTGGCTGAACATCAGCCCTATAGGGCCCTGTCTGTGGTCGTATTTTGGCTCTTTGAGGCGCGCGCGGAACGCAATGCGCCGTACGCTGGGGTCTGGAGTATGTAGGTGCGAATGTGTGGGTAAAACTCACCTAGAGTTTGTTACCTATTTGTCTATCAGAAACTATATTCACATCACAACATTCATGTTTATTACTAGATAATTGTTGGATTTTCTTTATCTTTTGTAATTGGTAGTCGTTAACTCAAGAACTGCTAGACTGATTTTCATTCGGCTGATCTTTTTGTGATCATAAATAGCGATTACAATTGAGTTGATGAGAAAAATGCAGAGACATGATTGCATTTTCGTTTTCTTAATATAAATATTTACATACATTGTATTTATAAGTGCAGGATGCAGATGCTGCTCGAGTCGGATTTTTAATTTCTTTTTTTATTTATTGGTTTACAGCCGTTTTGCCTTTATCACGCCTGATGGTAAGCAATGATGCGACCTGCGATGAAGCACGCCTACCCATAAGCAACCTTTGGCCTTGAAAACAACCGTCGGGGAACACAGTTACACTCCTTAGCGGTATAATATAACCTCTAATTTTAAGTATTTGAAATAACGAATTTTTGAGGGGGGGGGGGGGAGGAATCTACTGGCTTTTCTCGACCAGAGAGGGGTTCGAGGGCGTATCAGAGCCTTAGTGACTTAAAACTTTTTTTTAGGTAGATTATTGCACTGGTGTGAAATATGACGAGATACTCGCGAATAGTTTCCCGCTCGGAATAATTTTTGTGTGATCCACAAATTGCTATTTCAGATAATATGAGGTGTACCTAAATGTAAGTGAAATTATCAAAAACTTACTCGTTGAAGGCCTGTGCTATGACGAAACCCTCAGGCGTGTTGGGATTGTTCATGTCCTTAATCAGCGGCAGACCGGTCTGGTTAATAGCATCCATCAGGTCGTACAATGCTAAGGGCTGGTAGCGGAACTGTAAACAAAAGATGATGCGTGAGAAATATTTTAGATTTCAAAAATGGAACAATTATTTTGAAGACAAAAAAAAAAAGAATTTTGCTTTTTTCTGTGTTGCGGATACGTTGTGTTGTGTATGCCAACAGCCATCAGAGAGCGATAATCTATCGGTTTAACTAAACTAAATGTTAAAAATCTCATCATCAGCCTGTTGTCGTCCACTGCTGGACATAGGCCTCCCCAATTACACGCCACTGAACTCGATGTTCAGCTCTTCTCATCCAACCACTGCCAGCCACACTACGTTTAGCCTAGCCTAAAAATCTTGCCATGTCTTTTTATATGTATAAAAGTTGTCTAATTCGCATGTAAAAATGTTTAAAATCAGCTACCTATTTACCTATATCGATGTTAGCTAATAAGCTTTTGTATATAAGATGTTGTATTGTATACGACCTCTTTAATATAAAAATCATACCAAGATAATATAAAAAGAAACCTCTTTAATATAAGATGATTACCAAAAATGATAGACCTTAAAAACGTATTAAATATAAATAAGTACCTACCTACCCACTTATGCCCGGTTCCTATATTTAACGAATCGTCGTTGTATACGCATTACGACAAAATGACATTACGAATAGTTATCTTGACCGTCTACTGACGGTTAAAATATTTATAAGAAAACCACAGACACCATAGATCTCCATACAATTCGCTTACCGATATCCGTTAGTTGCAAACCGTCAGTAAGTTGCACGATGAGACGTTTGTTATAGGAACGGTTTTGGCTTACGAGTCGTATATAAAACTACTAATCGTAATTAAAACGGATCGTTTCTCAATTATAGGAACCGGGCGTTAGAGGTAGGAGGTATAATCTAGCATACCTATAAGTTCAATTTGTTTCTATACTTCATTTTTTATTCAAACAAATATAATTCAAAATTTTATTCAAACAAATAGGGGACGGGGTCTGATGGCAAATTTGTCTTTTAAAGTGTGGGAGAGCCATGCTTCGGCACGAATGGGTCGGCTCGACTGGAGTGATACCACGGCCTCACAAGAGACCGGCGTGAAACAACCACAGCGTTTTGTTTCGCCGTGTGAGTGAGGTTACCGGAGGCCCAATCCTTCCCCGCCCCCAAATCTCCAAATCCCTAATCCCTAAAAGGTCGGCAACGCACTCGTAAATCCTCCGTCGCGGGTATCCATTGGCTGCGCTGATTGCTTACCATCAGGTAATCCGTCTGCTCGTTTGCCGACCTATTACATAAAAAAAACAAATAAATGTTCTAAAAATAAAGTCGATGTTTCATTTGTTTTATGATTATTTTAATGCTTGTGCCAGCCTGGTCTTTTCAAGTTCGTTATCGTACGAGTAATTGCAGTTGTTATCTTAGCGACCCCGAATAAGTACTATAAGGATATAAAATCGGTGAAATTTTCATACCAGCTGTCTTGTTTGGCGACCCAAAAACTGCGGTAATAACATACAAATATAACGAGTCCAAACTTGACACACTTAGCTTTGTCGGTGACGAGTTCTACTAGCAATAAAGTCGCTTCACTGATTTTTTGAGTGGTGTAAAAATACAATATAAAAAACAGAACATATCTTCATATATCTTTCACAACTTTGTCCTCAAATTATGAAACAATGATATAGAATCCAAACTAATATTATTAATGCGAAAGTAACTCTGTCTGTCTGTCTTTTCTTCACGCCTAAACTACTGAACCGATTTCTGTGAAATTTGGTATAGACATAGTTTGGAACTCGAGAAAGGACATAAGATAGTTTTCATACCAAAAACCGCAGGAAGTCACTATTTCACGCGAACGGAGTCGCGGGCAAAAGCGAAAAAATAGTAAAATCATAAGTACTACTAAACGATCGGTCACGTCGATTTTATTGAACTTAGCATACAACTGAGGAAGTCGTTTTAAGCTTTAGTGTGGTAATAAAATACTTGGATTTTAAACTAATAATGAATTAGGTGGTACTTACTGTCTGAATGGGCAAGGGTCCGATATCAGAATGATATTTGCCGTCTACAAGGGAACCGATCTGTTTGTTTCCCTCTGTTAAGTCCATGAAAGGTTTGATTTCATCCCAGGACCATCCTTTAGCACCAGCTTCCACCCAATCGCAGGTGTAATCAGCATGATGGCCACGATGGTACATCATTCCGTTCAATTGACTAGTTCCACCTGATGAAAAAATTACGTCAAAAATTTATAGCTCGGTCACAGCTAAGGTTTGCTAACTAGAGTTGTGGTACAAGCTCAAAAATATCGGCCTTAAGCAGGAGAAGGAACGTTTTGATTTTTCCTGGACAGAGAAGAGCCTCGGGCCGCACTAGAGGGAACAGGATAGTCAGTAAGAGACTGGATCTCTTTTCCTGTCCAAGGCAAGAGAAATCACTCGGTGATTTTCTACTACGAAAATATTTGATTGAGACCGGGAAGCAACGCTCTCTGATAGACCTATGAGGCAATCTGTGGTCTGGTGTGAAATTGAGGTCCAGCCAGTCTTAGATTGTTGCCTTGTGCCACTGAGAAACTCTTACTACATGTTAGAACGGTAAGTCTAGATATACTACTCTGTCAAGAAAGTACCGGGAAAAAGTCAATAATACACAAAATGTTTGTTATTCATCTAAATTTATTTTATCACCTTCAAAGTATGCTCCTTCAGAAACGATACACTTACGCCAACGAATACTTAATCCAATCATCGAAACTTTTTTTAAACGCTGTTTCCGGAATTGAGTTCAGTGCTCGCCGCGAATTCTCCTTTATGTCTTCTAACGAATGAAAACGGGTGCCACGAAGGGGTAATTTGAGTGTGGGAAAAAGAAAGAAGTCGGCTGGAGCCATATCTGGTGAATATGGTGGCTGCTCGATGGTGTTTGTTGAGTGTTTGGACAAAAAATCGTTTACAATGACGGCCTTGTGCGAAGGCGCATTATCGTGATGCAAAATCCAAGAATTTTCTTTCCACATTTCTGGCCTTTTTCGTCGAATTTGTTCTCTTAAACGCCGCATAAAGCTCAAATAATATTCTTTATTTACCGTTTGACCTTCGGGCAAGAATTCTGAGTGCACAACACCGCGATAGTCAAAGAAAACAGTCAACATGACTTTGACTTTTGATCGACTTTGACGTGGTTTTTTCGGTTTTGGTTCAGTTGGAAGGCGCCATTCCGAAGCTTGTTGACTAGTTTGCATGTCAAACTCGTAAACCCACGTCTCGTCACCAGTAACAATGCGTTTCATGAATGTTGGGTCGGTATTGACTCGTTCTAGCATGTCCTCAGCGACTTTCATGCGATTTAGTTTTTGAAGAAAATTCAAAGGTTTTTTTGGACTAGCCGAGCGGCAACACGTTTCATACCCAAATTATTTGTTAAAATGGTACGGATCGACTCGTGAGATACAGAAAGTTTGGCGGCCATCTCTCTCAAACTTGAATGAGGATTTTCAGTCACTATTTCCTTCACTTTTGCGATGTTAACTTCAGTTGCAGACGTTGATGGCCTACCAGAACGAGGCAAATCTTCCATCACATCTCGACCGCTTTTGAACGCTTTGTACCACTCATAAAGCACGTGTTTTTGATAAAGTCGATTCACTGTAAGCCTTCTGTAACATTTTGAGTGCCTCCGAACACGAAATTTCATTGGCGATGCAAAATTTAAGACAAACTCTTTGTTCGATGTTTTTGTCCATTATGAAATTCGCAATACACACTAGATATTATAAAACTAAAAACAGCACTGTTTTTAATATAAATAACAGATGCAACTCAAATTCCGCGCCAAAATGGAAAACAGTTATGCCAATCTAACAATAACAAAAAAAAAAAAAAATTCGAATTTGGAACCATAAAAAAAACATTCATTCCCGATACTTTGTTGACTGAATGTATTTTTCCAACGAAACATACCTAATTCTATATTTATTTATGCGGGTGTTAACGCGGACACTCGCTTTCCTTTAAAGTCGGTTAACACATCTGTGGATACGGCCTAATATGGTAGAAAATGAAAATAAGGGGGTAGATGAAGATTCATCGCCCGAATGCTGCTTGTGACCACGACCTATGCAACGGGGTCGAAACGTCAAGCCAACCAAGGTATTTAAATAATAAATTTCCACGTTAATACTCGTGTAAATAAATATATGTTGTTAATATGAAACGCAAAAGTTTAAAAGTTAGTATACCCAATCCTTTTCCGAGCGGCCATTTGCATCCCAAACCCTCCTGGTCGAGACAGTAATCAGCAGGAACTGTGCGTATCTGCCAATCTACTGCAGGATTGTCCCAAAATGTCCTGTAGAATGATGGAACTCTTACTCCTAGGGGTTCAGGACCACCTGCTTCCAGCAACACGACCTAGAAGGAAAAAGAAAGCTGTATTCTAAACTGCTTACACCTACACAAAATGGGTGTGATCTACAATCTCTTCTAGGTCTAGGGTTTTAGGTCTGGGTGTGTGTGCGTGTGAAATTATCGATATGTTTGTTAACGCACCCACAATACAGTAGAAAATCCTAGTTTGAAGCAAAGGTTTATCTAAATTATAAAAAGCGGTATTCTCTATAATTCTCATAAGCTGAAAGAAAAGAAGAGGATTCTATTTTAAGTCTATCAATCCTGATTGAATATTGAAATGTTTTTCCATTTAAAGTTGGTACTTTTCGCTCTCAGTGCTCAGTAAACGGAAGTTCCCATTTTGTCAAATTCGAAACTCGTTGTATTTATAGTATACTCATAGTATTTCCGTCAAGTAGTCTACTTATTTGTCAAAAATTAGCTAGAAAATATCTGTATTTTTAAGGGTTTTCTTAAAATGCCCATAATTTTAAAACTGCTTGGGATAGACTTTTCTTGTGATGGTTATAATCAATCTTGTCAACCCGTAGAGGCTTTTTTTTTTTTTTTTGAGGGGAAAATCATACTTTTCTTGTGATGGTTATAATCAATCTTGTCAACCCGTAGAGGCTTTTTTTTTTTTTTTGAGGGGAAAATCATCAAATGACTTCTCCCGCCCAGGGCCGGGCAGGAGGGAGTGTCAGACTCTTACTGACTAAAAACCCCCCTGTTCCTTCTCCTGCTCTATGCCGAGGTCGCGGTGCCTTTACGCTTACCCCGCAACCCCGGCTGAACATCAGCCCTTTAGGGCCCCGTCTGTGGTGGTCTAATGGCTCTTTGAGGCGCGCGCGGAACGCTACGCGCCGTACGCTCGGGTCTGGTTCTGGTCGGGCGGCGAGCTGCCCTTACTCGCCGATCGCAGGCCCGTGCTTACGGTGGATGGAGATCGTCCCTTGATCCCCGACGCCCGTAGTGTCGCCAGTTGCGGCTGCTGGGGCGTGAGGAGGAGGATTGCTCCCTCACGCGGGCCGCCTCTCTCTTTGCGAGCATGACTGCTTCACAAAAGGAGGAGACGGCGTCCCAGTTCCTCTCACTCCGCACCATGGCCTCGACTAAGGCCGGGCGCGAGAGGTCGCCGCCGCCGATCACTTCCCTGAGGATACGGCGGTGCTCAGCCCAGGCAGGGCATACCGCTACCGTATGCTCCACCGTATCCTCTAGGTGGTCCTCACAATGACGACACTCGGGCGTTTCCTCCCGCTGGATCCGAAACAGGAACCTACCGAAGCTGCCATGCCCGGTAAGCACCTGCGTCAGACGGAAGGTGAGGACGCCGTGGCGTCTCTCAAGCCACTCCTCAAAGAGGGGTCTTACCGCTGCTATAGTAGCGTGCCCGGCCCTCGGTTGCGACAGTCGTTGTTTCCACTCTGCCATGAGATCTCGCCGGAGCTCATTCCGCCACGCACTAATTTGGCGCGGCAGAGGATCTTCGCCCCGGCGACGAACCCGTAGAGGCTTGACATTATGATCTGGGACAGTCTGTATAGAGAGATCATGACCAGGAAAATAATATCAACTCCTAGTTAGTTTGTTGGTTGGTGTAGTAATTTTTGAGACTGCTACGTGCTACGCTTTCTACGAAAGTGTACGCTGTTGGTAACTTTTTACACTACTAGTCAAATTTAATACTTTTGTTATAGAAATGTCAAAAAATATACTTTTGTATGAGATTGCAGCTTTGACGTCATCTTATTTTTGCGTTACTTAAACCCTGAAAAACTCTATTTACAAAGACAAGTGCCAGTTTATGCATAGACTCTTTACTAATCTAGATACTAATTTATAAAGAGGTATAATTTGTAAGTTTGTATGTAGGGGGTAATCTTTAGGACCTGCAGATCGTATTGCCAAAATTCTTTCACTGATAGATAGCTACAATGCTCCTGAGTGATATATGCTATAAAACATCACGCTAAGATCAAATGGAGCTGAGCAGCGAGTGAAACCGCGCGAGAGTAGCTAGTATTTAAAAAGGTAAAGAGTTCGTTTGTTTGTTTGAACGCGCTAATCTCCGGAACTTACTGGTTCGAATTAAACAATTATTTTTATCGATGATAGGCTATGAAACATCACACTAGGATCTGTAACAGCGGGTGAAACCGCGCGAGAGTAGCTAGTACAAAATGAAGAATATAGAACGCGATTTGTATAGACTATCTGCCACATACATTTATCCAGAAATTATGTGAAGGTGGTGAAACATACGCTAAGTGGGCTAAACCCGAAAAGAAAACTCGTCTCGTTGATAAGTAGTTAATAAAATAGTGCAGTAACTAATTACAATTTTGTAGGTACTTAATTGCATTTTGTGTTTTATTTAAATTACCTAATGTAGGTATTTAATCTACGTTGCCTGCATTAACAGTTATCTAACCATTAATTTAAAACACTTTAAATTTAAAACCGTCCATCGTCACTTAGTTTATTTATAAATTGTATTTGTTGGTTTGTCTATCTTTGACATGGCATCGAAGTGATATTGTGGTATCCATATCTATAATCCGCAAGGCAGCTTGTGGCGAGCTGTTGGGCAGTGGCGACCCCACGGACCTGACTCCCGGGAGGTGTCTTGTTCTTCTCTCTTCGGTTAGTCCTCGTGACTAGCTGGAGTGAACACTGATGAGGAACAAGCCCTCTCACGTCATTCTTGCCTTAATTGGCTGGCTTGAGTGGAGATTCGCAAGAGTAGGAGTTGAAGGAGACTCGGGGGAAGGATGTATCTCAGTAAGATGCTGGTAGGGGTCTTGACCGTACTTCCGGGATTGCTCTGATAGCCGTGGGATGCCTCTCCTTCCCCAAGCAGCTCAACGTATGTTGCCTCCGTGTCGCTTCATGCTAGCGGCCGTTTCCGGGGGCCCATTAATTGAGTTTGCCAGTCACCCCCTGCCTGTTTATCCGTATGTATCAATATTGGTCAGGGGCAGGGGCCATAGTATTTCCATAGTTTTCACCCACTAGTCCATAGCAACCCATACCCATAACCTTATAAATTTTTACCACATTTCGCAATAGTCCTCCATCAACCGGGGATTGTCCTTGGGTGCACTTTCATAGTGCATACAGGGATAACTGCCGGCTGATGTCCCATTTCACTTATATTAAAGTTGTTCAAAGGGCCTCTGGGAGTTGGCTTCGGCCCCTCGTACGCCTTCCAAAAGTCCGGGACCCTGTGGTCCCGTGAGTGGAAAAGAATTATAAATAGGTAAAATGTGCAAGTTTGTAAGTTTGTATTTAGGTACAAAGACACAGCTTATTTCGTTTGATATCTCTTCCAGCAGGCCCGTTATGGGAGAGTTAGGATAAATAGAGATGTAGGGAGACTGACCGTGTAAACAGAATTAGGTAAGTAGGAAAAGAATCTTAATGTGATATATCTGTATTTCTATATACTAATATTATAAAGAGGTTAAAATTATAAGTTTGTATGTAGGCGGTAATCTTTGGAACCGCTGGTCGGATTGGCAAAATTCTTTCACTGGTAGATAGCTATAATGTTTCTGAGTGCTATAGGCTATAAAACATTACGTTCAAGTGGAGCAGCGGGTGAAACCGAAAGAGAGCAGCTAGTTAGGTATATTTATGTTTGTCGATAGATAAAGGAGTCTTTAATAATGAAGAGGGAATGACATCCAATAGCTTCTCCTATCTTGGGTGGGAGCGAGAGGGAGCGCCAGATTCTTACATTTTTCATTTAAGGATTTTCTTTTTTTTAAATATAAAAAAAAATAATGAAGCCAGTTGATTAATTTGTTTTGAATTGAATCGCGACTCTGCTAATACAGGTCAGCTAGCTAAGCGTTGCGGATATCGTACGTCGAAGAAAAGAATTATTAGTTAATTTCAAAATGACTTATGTAATTCTTTGCAGACAAATAATTTCAAACCTAATAACTGTGCAATAAGGTTAATAATCTATAAAATAAAGGCTCACCTTATACGTAGTATTTTCCGAGAGCCGCCCAGCCACAATGGACCCCGCAGACCCAGCGCCAACGACAATGAAGTCATATTCCTGTTCCGTTTCCTCCACAGACTCGATCCGCTTGCATGGGGTCGAGATACTGCAGCGCCCCCATAGGTAACTTTGCAGCAACACCATAAATAAAAAGTTCCCGCTGCATACTGGCGAGTTGACTAGACTCGGTCCTTCTTCTATAATAGGACATCCACAATCCTGATAATCAAAATAAACTTGTTAAAAATGCGAAAAATTTTAGGAGCCATGCGTCCAAAGTTGAATTTTTTTAACCTTTTAAGATTCGCATAAGGATTGTCTCCTGTGTCGTGGGTGCGTTTACAAATATACGATTTTGAATAAACATTACACCCAGACCCTTAACAACAATTTGTGGATAACACAAAGAGTTATTATGTGCGGGAATCGCCCAGTTGCTCAGCTACGGCGCCAACCGTGCAGCCAAAACAGTGTTTATAGCCATGTGTGTGAGTTACTGCAAGCCTGAAATCTCCAAACTCTTTAACAGCTAACGCCAAAAGGGAAGCAACGCACTGGTATCTTATTATGATGTTGCGATTGTTCATAGGCGGCGCGGCGGCGATTGCTCGTCACGAGATCGGTAAATGAGTAAACGAAAACCTATCTTTGTCTTAAGGTATTTAATCTGCATAATAATATGTTAAATAATTCCTAATTATTTTATTTTACGACATTGTTGAGTAGCCTGTACCTAATACAGTTGCTAACTACTAAATAAAAAAATAGTTAAATAACTTCTTTGATCGTGAAAATGGCAAAAAAACAAAAAAAAAATAATCAGATTCTTTGAAATACATAATAAACTCAATTTGGATTAATAAGTTAAAGTAGTAAATAGAATTAGTATCTATAAGTAAATACTTTTTCTCTCACATGTATATATTTTTTGTATCAGATCGCTGACTTCTATGTAAAACGCCAGTGTAGGTATTAAACATAATGGTAAATAAGTATGTCCATTATGTTTAATACCTTATAATATAATATTATTTGGACATATAGTCAGACTTTTAATTCGATTCCTGATTTGACATTGACCACTGTCATTTTGTGAAATAATGATACCACATATAACAGTGTAGTGATGAACACAAAAATCGATAAACAATCAGTGAATCAGTTTCAGGAAGGCATTCAAAAAATTACGGCTACCGAATGGTCTAAATGTGTATCCCATGTTTTCAAAGAAGAGGAAAAAATGAGTAAGCGAGATTTGTTAATTGACAATAAATATCAAAGACACAATTCATAATAAATGTTACATAGAGTAACGGCGATAGCGATAGCGATGACGGCGACAATTTATAAAATGTCTGTTTTATTTGTCACGTTCCTTCATGATCACATTTTTTTATTAATTTCACACACAATTACAAAAGAAAAGTGTCAGATCGTTAATTAATTGTCAAAACTAAATTATCGGTTCAGAAATATTTTATTTCCTGATAAACTTAGTTTACGAGAGTAAATTTATAAACGAGAGGAATCGAGTGAGAAATATTCGATTTCCATATCGAATAATTTCGCAACGTCACTATTTATTACGTGTCATAACGTTGCAAGACTGAAATTGTCAAATCTGGAATGGAATTAAAATTCCGAGTATAGTACTCTAGTTGTTACAGAAAACAGGTTTTATTACGATTAAAAGTACTTCCTTACTAGGTAGTTCCTTTTTCAATTCAAAATTCAAAATTTTCAAAGTGCAAAGAAATAAAAAGATAGTATATATATATAGGTACCTACTTAGTACAATAAATTCCAAATGGAACGATCATGATTTAACAATGTACAAAAATAGATAACTAACTAAAAAGGTCGATCAAAGAATTTGGATTTGATTTGACTATAACACCAATACAAAACAATTAAAAAATCGTACTTAAAAAAATTGAGAAAGGTGTAGTGCTGATTTCGGCTGATTTTAAACAATATTAGGTTAAATCATATTTTTACTAACTCGTATTGCTCTGAAATATTTTTAATGGGAAAATAACAGACGTGGAACCTGATGGTAAGCAATCGGCTCTGTCTATAGACACCCGACAACCCAGAGAGGTTTTAATGCGTGGCCTGCTTCTTAGGAAGGCAAGGATTTTGCCTACGGTAATCTCACTCACATGGCTACAATTATTATATTAAATAAGCAGCCCGCCCCCGCTTCGTTCGGGTATACAAATATTTTCCGAATAGCTTTTTCCCGATTTTCCCCACTAAGTTTCTAAAATTTTCTTTCAACAAAATATTATCGTGACTAGTATACCGAACACAACAAAAAATAATTGGCGGAATTGGTTCAGCCTTTATTGAGCTATGCGCTGACTAACACATTTTTTATTCATTTTTGTATATGTATAAGATTTCACAATTATAACTAAAAAAAGAAACTCACCTCAGGTGCTAAAATCATCTCGGAAATTTGCTGGCAACCGTTTCAAAAAACCTGTAACCGAAAAATAAAAAAAAAATGTTAGGTACCTCGACGGTAACCTAAGTATAATTACACGAAAATTTTTACAGATCTCAGTTTTATAATGATCAACTTGCTTGCTCTTACTTGTAGGTACATGATATAAAAGCCACGGTATAACAGAGAACACAGACATATCGTTAAATGACCAGGATAATGAAATGATTACGAATTACGACTGATACGATACTTTGATAATCCATTATAATCATTTTAGGCATTGTAATATTTTATTGTATTTGTCTAGTTTATCATTAGACATACATATTTATTGACTTAAATTTTCCACGCACTCTGTTTGTGAGTGACCTCACTCTTAATGTGTAATCCTGGAAAATTTCGACTACTTAGGTTGTTTTTGTTAGTTTTGCAATACCTAATCTTTAATACCGATATTACATATATTATCCAAAACAGGTGATATTACCTTAAGATTAAAAAGGCCCAGCCTTTCTCTCCCCCATCATTCCCCAATCTCTAACTCCCTAAACCCCCTTAACCCCTGCCAGCGCACTTGCCACGTCTTTGGTGTTACCGGTGCCAATTGCTTACAATCAGGTATCGTGTACGCAAGTTTGACGCCATATCACATAAAAACATTTATAACAATCGGTGTGGTAATATTTTGTAATATGTTAAAAATAAAGAGTATACACATACTTCTTCACACAATCTGCTTACAAAGGTGCAAAGATAAAAAAATATAACGCAATGGTTGAATAGTAAGATTTTGGGGCACTATATATAAATCCGCAGGACGATGTGTTAATTCAAAAAATTGATAAGGTGGTTATTTTTTTACTATTTTACGATAAGAAGACACAAATGTAGTAAATAAACGTAGATATGTTTGCTATTTTAAAAAACAAATTCACATAATATGCAAATAAAGAAGTTAAACAGCCTACAACCTGATAATAAAATAGATTAAATAGAGCAATTTGTTTCCCATAAACTGTATAGCGCCTACAACAACAATACATCAATAAACAGACATGTTTTAGGTATACATTAAGATAATTTGAGCGGTATAAGTAGCGAATAAGTTAAAAAAATAAGTATCTCCATTTTTTATTTGTCTGTTTTTTAGCAATTAATAATTTCTTTAAATTGAAGAGTAAATTTTGTATAAACAAATTTCCCAGTCAATTTCTCTCTTTCTTTGAAGTGCTTTTGTTGAGTTTAGCTTGGAAAAATATTAAAAGGTTATCCACATACGCATTTGATGAAGTTTTTATGGCCGAGGCCGACTAGTCCTGATTTATCTCTAATCATTTTAAATCTTTCATATAATTAACTTGTTGCCAAAATCTATTTTAATGTAATTATTATGCAACATTGTCTGATACAAGTTAACTTTTTAAATTAATATTAAATGGATTGAATAGCGTCAATGAAGAATGAGTTCGTCACAAACGTTCGTCGCATAAATAATCCATAAAAAATCGAAAATGTTAGGTCTCATTGTATTGTGCTATGTGAGGCCTCAATGCTAAAAATAGCGTTCAAAAAGCCTTACACAAAACGATTATAGCTAAAGTTAGGTCCTGAAGAAACCCCTATTCGTAGCTCTATCAGCCCTGACCGGTGTTCCGAGGTACCTACACACATCTCACATAGGTAATGTAAATGGTTTTGAGTATAAGAAAAAAAAACCCTAAATATATTATCTATCCTACTAATAAGGTTTTAACTAAGGAGAATGCATCGTTGGTCGGATGTAAGTAAAGTGTTGCACAAAATTGAAATATTAAAATCCATACAAATCAATAAAATTGTCTGTTTGTAATATTGGAACAACCGAATTTTACTACATGTTATTATGAATATCTATTTATGGTACATAAACAAAATATACTTAACTCTTACATTTTCGTGTGTCTAGTAGGTATCTGATGTTAAAAAAAGTAACCTAGGCTACTGTCTATTTCTGAAAATTCTTTTATTTTGATCTCTGAAGAAAATAGTGTTCCCACGCAATAGCGATAATCAAATGTTACGCAGACAAAGTCGCGGTTATAAGCTAGTTATAAATATATTAAAATGATATTCACGGCCTAAATTTATATATCGTCACGGCTATTTCTTCTCGGAGGAGTAGGCACGGTTACAAATGCGGTAAACATTTTAATAATTTTGTTACATTTTAGTTTTTTTTCATTCTAATAGATAAATAAAATAAGCTTGAGTGATATAAAAGTAGCCACAAAATAATTTTATAAATATAAAATAAAGTAAATTTAAATTAGTAAATTTTTTCAAAATATCTATAATGATAAAAATTGACTGTCAATGATATTTTAAGTATTTTATATATAATATGTTATTTAAATAAAATATTATCTATTATAATTTTTATAACGATATAGAAATTGGATGTTTGTAACACAGATTTGTAAACGCAGCCACGACACAGGAAAAAAATCTTAGGTTATAAAATGTGCGCTTTGTTTTTAACCTATAAATTAATATCTGTTTAATTATTTCATTTAAATACTACTTTATTTATTTTTTACGAAAACCTAATATACCTATAATTTTAGGATTTACCCATAAATATTAGTTTTTAACTTTCACCGCAACTCATTTTATTTACTTAGTTAAACATTTCATGTCATTTTCACCTGTTTAACCCGAATTAATACTATCGGTATCGAGTTTTATAAATAGTATCAACTTAATAGGTAATTTATTACCTATTCGAAATTTTAGACAAGGATTCTCATTAAAAATAGTTTATTGTTCTTTATTTAATAGTTTTAAAAGGACAACGACGTCGGGTAAGATGGCGTGCGAGGTTTTTTTTTGTATTTGATCCAGTTCTTGATTCTTTTTTCGAAAAGATTAAAAAAAACAAATATTTTTTTAAATCGAAACAAGAAAATTCGAGAATTGATTGAAACTATTTGGAGAATTGAGACAATTTTTTTTAAGTGATTTATTTAAATATACAAATTGCATTATAATAAATTTTGTAGAAAATCAATTAGAAACGATTTTATAAATAAAAGTTGTTCACGATTTAGGGATTAAGTGTATGAAGATATGACGATTCTTTAATTAAGTTTGATTGACGTTAGGGTGAGTTTTACCGCTTTCTTCCCTGAATATCCTTTTCCCAGTTATCAAGTCAGGTCGACGTTTAAGTTATGTATAATGGTAGGTATTTTATATCTAAAGTTTAAAGTGATACTAAAACTTTAAGACGTACCTATGCATCACTTTCTTACCTCTTAAGATTTTTATTGAAACCAATATGTCCATATATGTAGTCGTATATTTGAAATGATTATGAATAATGAAAATGTTATAAAGATATGCTAAAATTACTTATAAAAAAATACGGTTACGTCGCAAAACCGATTCGAGTTTTTCTCAGTATTAACTGAATAAGTCACGTGTGTAAGTCGTTATTTTCGATGTTCGCTATAATTATTCTATTCAAAAATTAATAAAAAATCACCTTCTCCCTTTCTTCCTTGCCGAATATCGTAAGTAGGTAACGTTAGCAAAATATACAATGCAACTGAATTGTTTTTGACACGCTACGCTGTCTCAAAAACAATGACTAACTACAGGCTTATTTTCTGCCTTAAATATAAACTGAATATTACAACAATCATGACTAGTGCAAAAATTCTAGTACCTAAACATAATATAGGTAAGTAATAAAACTATCTAGATCCGCTTAATTCAAATAAGATAAGATTAAAAATAAATAAATAGTGTTCTATCTATGTGAACGATCTTACGGGAAATGTAAATATATTTTGTATATGTGCTCTTTATGCCTTATCTTAAGCCAATAGAGGCTAGATTTGCAAGGCATAGCAACTGCCTAATCATTTTCGGTACACAGCCAATGACTGCGAAAATATTTTCAGTTCATAACGATGTAAATCGTTGGATCATTCATAACATCATGATTGATAAAGAAATGCTGTTTATGCATATGTACTTGAACTGATTGATAGAATTATTATTATCTATGAAGACGTTGGTTTTTTTTTTTTTTGTGAGGGGAAAATCATCAAATGACTTCTCCCGCCCAGGGCCGGGCAGGAGGGAGTGTCAGACTCTTACTGACTAAAAACCCCCCTGTTCCTTCTCCTGCTCTGTGCCGAGATCGCGGTACCTCATTGTGCTTACCCCGCAACCCCGGCTGAACATCAGGCCTTTAGGGCCCCGTCTGTGGTGGTCGAGTGGCTCTTTGAGGCGCGCGCGGAACGCTACGCGCCGTACGCTCGGGCCTGGTTCTGGTCGGGCGGCGAGCTGCCCTTACTCGCCGACCGCAGGCCCGTGCTTACGGTGGCCGGAGATCGTCCCTCGATCCCCGACGCCCGTAGTGTCGCCAGTTGCGGCTGCTGGGGCGTGAGGAGGAGGATTGCTCCCTCACGCGGGCCGCCTCTCTCTTTGCGAGCATGACTGCTTCACAAAAGGAGGAGACGGCGTCCCAGTTCCTCTGTGAAGACGTTGGTTGAAGGCATTACTTTTTTTTGTCTACGGAAAATCATGCAATGACTTCTCTCGCCCAGGTAAGGCAAATGACAGACTCTTAGTGACCCCCCAAAAACACGGCCGTTTCTTCTCCTCCTGCTCGGCCAAGGCCTTTTTTTTGTAGAGAAACAATCACCAAATGATTTCTTTCGCCTAAGGTATGGCTGCTAGGGATTGCTGGTTTAATGATTTAGTAAACCCTCAAAAGGCTGATAAGGCATTCGTAACTCTGGGATTGCCCATAGATGATACCGATTGCTTAATTATCACCATATCATCTGCCGGAGCGTTATTCGCCCTGTAACTTTTATGAGAAGTTAAAAGTGAAGCCATCCAATGATCTCCTGAGAGGCGAGAGGGAATGTCAGACTCTTACTGACTAAAAACCATCTAATTCCTTCTGCTCCGGGACGGAGCTGCGGAACATTATAGCGCCATACCCCTATAATCCCGTCACTGTAAAATAATAGGTCTTTACCTATGAAATTGCCGTTTTGCATGAAAAAATTGAAACGAA